TGCAGAGCACTCTAGTCTGTGTGATCAAGTCGACTGACTCTGCTGATGTGGGAACAGAGATCAAACCATGGACCACGTATAAGTCACTGTGTACGAAGTTTGCTGCAGCTACACACTTGTCTTTGTGGTCAGTTACAGTTTTCTTTCGTCCATAATTCGCACACCCTGGTGATGAGGCAGCACCAAACAAGTGTGCCTTCCTTCTATAGTGATGAACTGGTTGCTGGTAATCACCATCAGGCCACCACACATCACACATGAAGGCTGGCCTTTCCATCCGGAATCTGCACAAGACGCCAGCCAGTGCATTTGTCATTTCCGGTCCTGTCATCAAATGTTCGTTCAACGATTCTCCTTTATACTGAACACTACAGTCAAAGACGTCTCTCAATTTGTTCGGTTGTTGAACGCCGTGATGTGGAATGTACCAGACTGTTTTCTTGTAGTCCATGGGTTCTGGTACATACTCTGAATACTCATTCTTGATGAGAGCATCCATTACCTTGGTGTAATGTTCGTGATAGACTACATCCTTTGTGAACTTCCGTCTTAAGCCTTGTAGCCTCATCTTGGCTTGGAACACATTGCTTGGCATCAACGGTTCCTCCATCTTGAGTGGTAGTGGCATTTCGTAGTGCCCATTATCCGCAACATGGATGCCATCTTCCATTACTTTCAGAAACCTTTCATCATGCTGCGAATAAGGCCTCTCATTCGTGTCTGCATTGAAACCTGCTTCCATAGGTTTCACGATGTGGCTCGGGTTGATATCTTCCTTTACGGCGATAGACTGTGCCAACACTGCATCGGACTTCTGATGTTTGTTGACACCATGTAATTCAGTGGAGCCTATTAGATCCTCTGAACTGCCTTGATAGTTGGAGTCCACTGTGCCGATGATACTCCAACCAAAATCGGTCTGCGTCCCGAAAGGTCCATCTTCGTTGTTGGTGACAGCTGGCGGTCCGTTGTCAACCCTTTCTTTGCACCTGTATTGATAGGAGGCAGTGGAGGAGGCCTCTGAGGCCACATCACCACGTAAGAGAATCAATGTTTTTGCGGCTTCTTTCATCAAGCCGAATTGCTTTTCCTCCATCACTTCAAGCTTGTCCTCGCTGTCGTCCTCTTTTGACAAGGCAGCTGTGACTTCTGCCAGCGTTTCCTGAGTTGCGATGGCGTTCTCGATTGCTTGTTGGGTGCCTTTTCGACCATCTCTAATTATTGATGATTCTGAGTTTTCATCACTTAACAGTTCCATCAAATTGTTGGCTGTTTTCTGCCACGTTATTATTGCATCCTTCCAGTTCTTGGTTGCAACGCCAAGCTGGTATTGCAACACCTTGTCGCTTGCAACTGCTTCTCCTGATGATCTTGTTTGACCCTCAGCTGATTGTTGCAACACCTTGTCGGTTGCAACTGCTTCTCTTGATGGTCTTGTTTGACCCTCAGCTGATGGTTGCAACACCTTGTCGGTTGCAACTGCTGTTTGTCCCTCAGCTTTTGGTTGCAACACCTTGTCGGTTGCAACTGCTGTTTGTCCCTCAGCTTTTCCTTCTCCTTCTATCATCTTGTCTGATCGTTGGAGAGAGCTTACTTGAAGAGCCGAGAGGCCGTTTAACTCAGGAAAAGGTTGGCGATTTCCCTGAGTTCTTTTCACTCTTCTGAGAAAGAGTTTTCACTGTGACTGTCTGTGAGGCGAAACGCTGAATAATTACAACGACTCAGGTTTTTACGGGAGTGTCAGTTTATTTAAGAGTCATAACCATCAAGGGTAATGCAACTCTGTCTTTGACGAACGAATCTTTTATCTATTCTCCTTTCACTGCTTTATTCCGTTCTTCTTCCCTTCACTCCGTGAAAACTGTACATGATAAAGCATAACAGGAATGCATAATAAGTATGTGTTCATGAATATAAGTTCCACAATATTAAAGCAGATATAGCATTCTACTAAATCAAAAACATTGTCTGAATTATAACTCCTTTTCATGTTTGCTTGTAAATCTTATATAAGTCAGACACTGTCTTGACAAATCTATCTGAACTTTATGTAGAATGTCACAGCTAACACACAATTAAACTTATATCATCTCTATCATGTCCAAACCAGATTTAACACGGTTTCAATTAAAAATGTAACCATATTTAACGAGCTTGAATGACTTTATCATAGTCAAGGAATACAATAACAATGTCATGACCTTGACCTGTCATTCACACAAATATGCTCACATTCCTCATCCCTTTTCATCATAGAATGTCTTATTCTGCATCATATATTTTACTTGACTATACTTCTTTCAACTTTAAGTAAAACTAAACATCAATTATAGATGTAATGACATATTAAATGTGCAATAGATATCTCTAGTCTATCCTATGTGTGGGTACACAGTATACACATGTTATACATTTGCCATACAAATATAAAAAACATCTTAAAAACTACCTTTTTGACATTCATTTTCATAATGCTCAAATATGTGGTTTAACTAACCTCTGTGCCTCCATAATACTGTAGAAACAGCTCTCAGGAACAAAGGATGCTCCAGAAAACCACAGATTTTCCTCACAAAACAGAAATCATGTTGCAAACATGATCAATCCAAATCAGCCAACAACAGGTGGCACCAAACAAGTTTCTGACCTTCAAACTAGAAAAACTTTAAATAAGAACTGTCAAAGTAATCTTTGACCAAACGCCCTCTGTTGTTCTATTATTGCAATGTCAAGCTAAATCAATAAATACTAAATAAAATAACTTTAACTAGCAAATACAAAATTACAACTTTCACACACATTATCTGGGACTTGTCCATTAAGTAACGATAGATTAAGAATGTGTACTAAAGGATTTACAATTGAAGATATTACACCTTTTAGAATAAAATTATTAATGTCATCATAGCCGTGACTCTTTTTGTTATTCAAATTAGATACAATATCAATGATATCTTCTTTAACTATAGGAGTGACAAAAATAGTATTAGGGTTGGGTGTGCCTAGGTAATCAGAGAAATGTTTGGCTGAAGGAGGAATACCTTCAGCCAAGTTTGTCCCTATAGAGGAAAAAAATTGTTGAAAGTATTGGCTATGTTTTCAGGATCTTCGACAATATCATTATACCTAATTTTAGTTATATCTGATTTGTTATTGGATAAATTCATTGCTTGTTTTAAAATCTTCCATGTGTTTTGAATATCGTTCTTATATAAAGTTAACTGGTTCGTAAAGTAATTTTGTTTTGCTAATCGTATTGTTTTAGTTAAAATATTTTTATAACTGGTGTATCTAGCTTTTGCCTGTTCAGTACCTTTCATTTTACATTTATAGTATAAGTTATTTTTTCTGTTAATTGAACGTAAAAGTGATTTAGAAATCCATTGAAGTCTCTGTGATTTTTTGTAGGTATAGTTCCTTTGTCTTTAACTTTAGGAATGTGAATATCTAATTGATCATGAAATATGTTAAGGAAATTATTAAAAGATAAATTTACGTCATTATTATCGTAAACACACGACCAGTCAGCAGAGTCTAAAAGTGCTCCAAGAATGGCAATGTTTTCATGGTTAGGTCTGCGTCTTGATGGTCTGTGATGATTAACTAATGAGTGCTTAAGGGTAAAATGTGACATAATAGGAAAATGATCCGTTATATCAGATAGAATTATAGAAGAGTCTGGGGTAGGAAGAGTATTGCAAAAAACATTATCAATAAGGGTGGCGGAGTGATTTGCCATACGGGTGGGTTTCAATATCAAAGGCAAAAACGAGGCAGTCAAAAATATTTCAAGAAATTCATGGGATATATTGTTGTTATTATGCTTTAAAATATCAATATTAAAATCTCCCATTATGAAAACATCTTTGTTTATAAAAAGTGGATTCTTTAGTAAATCTGTAAGGTACAATATGAAATCATTTAAATTTGAACTTGGAGGTCTATACATAATACCCATGATTATATTTTTAGTACCGGTATCCTGAACATTGATTTCGATAAAAAGAGACTCCAGTGTTTCGTTCATTGCATTAATTTCATTTAGAATTGAATAGTCGTAACTGTGTGAAACGAAAAATGCAACACTCCCGCCGGGTCTATTTTTTCTATTATTGACAACAAGATCATAACCATCCAATGCAAATGGTAAGTTTGATTCACTGGATAACCAGGTTTCCGTAAGTCCTATTATAACTGTTTGGATGGTTTATCTAATAATAATAACAATTCTTCAAAGTGTTTATTTAAGCTTCTAATGTTTAAATGCAAAGAGAAAATGTGTCTATAGCGAATTCCTTAACGAGGTTTTTAAATTGGGACTCGGTTACATATTCAAATGAAGGGCTTTGAATTTGGTCATGATCAGGGAAAAAATCTAAAATTTCTGTCGATGAGTTTATATTATTTGCTACAAACTGGTTATACGCTACATTAGTTGAAGAATAATCATTCGCGAGATTTGTTGATGAAGGGTTAAATGAATGAAAAAGGTCATCATCATTTGAAGAATAGAATGGCATATCAGCTAACTGGGCCATTGAAGTACTACAGTCAAGATCTCAATATAATATTGCATTTTCGGTTTTGGGTTTGTAGCAATAAGCAAGCAATTGGGCGATAGAAGCGTCCTGCATGGATACACAGAAAAAACAGTTTTACATGTGGACAAGTACAGATACATAAACACGTGAATACAGAGAACAGAACAATGACAACATACAACAGAGAAGGGGACACAAAGACTGAAGAGAGAAAGAAAATTAGTTCAAGTAGAGACTACATTCCACAGAAGTCCTCGTAGACAGAGCGAACGAACGAGGCAATGAACAATAACAAATGTGGAGCATCTTAGCATAATCCTGGCGAGATGCCCAGTAGAACTAATAATATTATAGGAAAATACACTCAATGTAAATAGATCATCATCGGATATAGATATGTTCAACTTGACTTTGAGGCCCAGAAAGATATCTTAACTTTTTGAATTTTTTTACCATCAGAATATATCTTCCTGTTTGACAACGCTGACGACCTGCTGAAGCCGACCTCACTGGCCAAAGACCATTTCCAGAACATGCTGAAACAAACTCTGGAGTGGCAACAAAACTCCAATATTAAGATCATCATCACATCAAGGTATTAAAGGCCAAATCCACTCCAAAAATAACTTACTTATAATAGAAGCAAAGTCAGACGAACCAATCAAAAGAAGTTTGAGCAGAATCGGATAACTAATGAGAAAGTTATGAATTTTTGAAAAAGTATGTAAAACCATGTAAAACCAATGAAAATCACAAGACAAATTGGAAACTCACTCATGAGTCTGTGACGTCATGTCCTCACCATCCACTAATTGTTTTCTTTATATTAATAATATAAATTTTCTATTTTCCCCCTAAGAATCTTATTTGTTCAGACCAGCTTCCAAGTTTGATTGATGTTTTTGTGTGGATGCACTAACATAGAGTATTTTTTTTCCAATTAAATCATGAAGAATGTGAATTAAAATTCAATAATTATGAATGTATACAATATTCAGAAAGAAAAAAAAATCTCCATATTTTTCCCTCCACAGGGATTTTATTGATTTTCATTTGAAACACATACACAAATATATATTCAAGGTAATTAACATTTATAACATAAATAAAATTGGATTTTCAAGATACAAGTATTGTTGAACTGTTGACTTAACAGAAAATTAACAAATCAATAATTCATTTCTGACACTCATGGAAAGAAAAACAAATACAGAAAAAATATCATTTTAAGTACCGGTAAACAAATTCCTGAATTGAAACCATTTTCTTGTGAATTTATTATTTCTACAATTCGAATTTGCAATATACTTTTCGTTTTTGAAGTAATTTATAATCAAAACTCTAATATTATCAAAGTCGGGCAATTGTTTCTTTTTTTTGCAAGTATACACCATCCGTCGCACCACAATCAGTATACAATTCAATGCATAATTATTTGAACCTTTTAAACCAAATAATTTATCTTGTTATGAAAATGTTAATTTGTTTCCGGTTCCAGTATTAATCCAGTGTTCTAACCTACCCAAAATATTTTTAACATGCGTACAATCACATAGCAGATGTATAACTGTTTCAATCTGTTCATTACAAAATGTACATTCTTTTCTTGGGACTAAATTCATTTTAAACAGTAAATCGTTCGTATATAATATGCGTTGCAAGACTTTAAACTGAAACCATCGTAAGCCCACATCAATGGTACAATTAAATCCAATAGAACAATATGTTTCCCAACTCTTATCATTCAGGTCGAAAATGCATTTCCATTTTAATAAGAAAACTTTTACCTAGTCCTTTTCTTCTCTTTAATAAAATTGCATAGATATGTGAACATCCTTTAATACGTTTCATAAAAAATGCCATTGTATCTGGGAAAAGAGGTTGTGGCACCTTGTTAAAAATAGTACAATTGTTAAACCCTTGTCTAATTGCATCGCATAATCCACGATAAAAAAGAAAATTTATTTGAATATTATACTTTTCTTGGAAGTGTTCCAGAGAGAAAAAAAATATCAGCATTTGTGTCTAAAATATCATTGACAAAACAAACTCCCTTTTGACACAATTTTTTTAATTATATATTGAGCTATTGCCTATTTTAATGTAATCATTATTCCATAAGGGTTGGCAAGAAATGTTATCATAATGCATGGACAAGAGCGTACTATAAGCCATGAACATTTCTTTCCAAAAAAGGTTGTTTTTTTTTGCCTGCCAGTTCCCCCTCTCTCTCTCTCTCTTTCTTTTTCTCTTTAACTCTCTCTCTATTTATATATACATGTATATATATATATATATATATATATATGTACCGTGTGAGTCAAAAAAAAAGTTTACACCTAGAAAATTGCTAATTATTTTTTTTAATCATCTATGAACAGTAAATTATTATACATCTTATGAAAGAGTGTTTTATCCCAAATTATTTGATACCATTTTTGTGTGGTATGTGTTCACGCTTGGATAAACAGGTGGCATTGTTTGCGAGAGTGCAAAAATCAACTTGCGCCAAAGTGATGCCTTCAGTATGTATTATGTTGGGATTAGTGGAGTGAGAGAATGGATTGCATATGCATATGTTTTTTGCAAAGGGCAAAGTCACACACACCCACACACACGCGCACAAATGTTCCCTGATATTTGATATTCAATATTTGATATGTGTAGCATGATTAATTTTGTTAGGGGTGTTATTTAGATCTGCAAAGACCGAATTAATACCCAAATCCCAATTGTGTTATTCAAACATCACATAGGCAACTTTGGCGCAAGTCGATTTTTGCACTCTCGCAAACAATGCCTCCTGTTCACCCAAGCGTGAACACATACCACACTCAAATGATACTGAATGATTCAGGATAAAACACTCTTTCATAAGATGTATAATAATATACTGTTCATAGATGATTTATAAAATAATTAGCAATTTTCTAGGTGTAAACTTTTTTTTGACTCACACTGTATATGTGTGTATGTATTATACATGTATGTGGTATTGAAAGAATTTGATGTGTTGAATGATCATTTTAGATGGCATGCTGGAAAATGGGGTTCATGGAGAACAAAACTAGTACTAACTTTCATAGTCAATAGTAAAATATCCAATTTCGTTATGTTACTAAAAATGTTAAAATATCTAAAACCATGAAATCAAATTTCATGTTTTTCTTTCTTTCTGGTTTTTACCGGTTTAACAATTATTTATTTTTATGGAGTAATAGGTCTAATTAGTTGACTTTTATAGGTATACAATTCTGTTGATAATACTTGTATATAACTTTTTCAGATTTAAATAATATATTTTATCTGTATAACTATTTAAAAATAAATATTTTAGACAACTTTTTTTCCAGTATACATTTATAGCTATATAATATTTGAATTAAACTGCTAAATTTTACCTTGTAAGATGCAATTTCAGCTTATTGCTGCAAAATATGTCTTATAAATCATTTTTAGATTGAATTGAATTGAATGTTAGACTGGAAATAAGTTAATGACATCTAGTACTCATGTAGTCATGGATATTGTCCATGTGATTTTTTCCAAATACTACCTGATAGAACTCTTTTAAGACCATATACTTGTATTATAATAAATATAAATGAATTTTCATGTGAAAAATTCAATTTTATTCTAGGGGTTAAAGCTGATATAATGGTTAATCCTCGTTCAGATATGATGTGACAAAACACACACAGTTTTTTTTAATGATGATGTTAAGTATAACATGCTTCTTAATTCTGTATCTTATAACACAGAGTTAAGAGAGTGCTTGCCAGACCTTTTGTTGCGCGCAGTTGCATTCATTTACACATGAAATAAAACGCTACATTTTTGTGTGTGGCTGTTTACCACTTCATATCTAAACAAGACTTAAAGGGAAATCCAACTACACTGTAATAGCAAACAACTCTAAAAGAAAGCAGACAAATCATAGAAGCAGACTTGTGAAACTTTGAATGACATCATACACAAAATAAGAAATTGTTTTAATTGATAATGTCACTGTGTCAATTGTTCCAACACACAAAATGACTGAAATTTCATTTATTTTTCAAAATTTATGACACTCTGGAGGGTCTTTTGTCTATAAAGGACCTATAGTAATATGATAGCCATAATTAATTTTGTGTAGTGCCCGATTGGAAAAGGCATTTGGGAGAAAAGCAGAATTTAATGAAATTTTGTGCACTACAAAGGGGAAAGTTGTCGTCACTATGTCTCAATCCACTGACAAAATTGTCAATTTGAGATTCGGATATCTCTAGATCTAGTGATCTCATATTTCAAGCATTCATAACACACTTATTATTGGTTTGATTTATTTCAAAATGTTGCCTTCTTTTTCTCTTATTTTTCTGCTTTCATCAAAATGAACTTGACCATGAAAATTCAAAATGGCTGCCGTTTCGGTGACAAACATTTAACAACTTCTTATCCATGGGTTTGGGGGAAATTTCAAGGTTATGGCAACCACTTTTGATTTTAAAAGTTGCTTAGTTGAATTTGTTATGTCAGAAAACATATTATTAGACACTAAAATCATGAGAATCGGACGTGTTGGTGAATTTGACCACCAGTCTAAAGTGCATTGACCTTCTTGACCAAAGCGCCCTCATTTAAGGTCGGAGGTATAACAAACTATACATTTTTGGAATCTTCATGACCAGACAAGTAATTAGATATGCAATTTGATAAGGTTAACTGTGTTGGTGAATTTGACCACCGGTCAAAAGTGTGTTGACCTTTCAACGTTTTTTACCATAGCGCCCTCATTTAAGGTCGGAGGTATAGCAAACTATACAGTTTTGGAATCCTCATGACCAGACGAGTAATCTAATATGCATATCTACACGATTTTAATATATTTGAATTTCGACCCCTGTTAGACCTTTGTTGGCCCCTCACGAAAATGCCCGGGATTTTCGAGGGGGCAGCTCAAGTCAAAATTGTTCGGTATTCGTCAGGGAACACAAAAACACTTTCAAACCTTTGTTTCCAGAGATTGGTCACGGGACCTACAGGCTGGTCTCCTACTAATACATAAAATGAGCATTTGTCTACATCAATAACCAACTCCTTGTAATGGCCAAAATTAAACGGATTGAATCTTTGTGCAGTACAAAACGTACAACCACTCAGTAAAAGGGTCTGAAAATCAGACTAATAGGTGATGGTCTTTACTTTCCCACTAAAAGCCATTTTCAAGCACTTTTGTTTTGAGTAAAGTTCTTAATTATTATTGTCTTTCAAATGCTGTTAAAATTTAACCTTTTCATTTTTTTGGCCTGCAAATGGGACATATTACCTGTAAGGAAATCAATGAAATTTTGTAAAGCCCCCATCACACCAAATGCGCTGGGTCTGTATAGCCCTCGAGCCAGGACGGGATTGCACACACTCTAGGAACATGTTCGAAAGCACTAGGAACGAGATGAAGACGAGTTGAACTGTCTCTGAACAGGGTGGTCAAGTTACAAACTAGTTAAAACAAGTTGCGAACTAGTAAGAATGGCTTTTGACGTATTGGGAACGAGGTAGAACTAGTTAAGAATGGGTTTAAACTGCCTACGGATGGGCTTGGACTGCTTGGAAATGGCAAATTTACCCGATCTAAACTTGATATGAACTGACTGTGGACAGAGTACAGACGAGATGGACGCATTGAGGACTGTTTATGAACGAGCTAGGATCGTATTATAGACATTATTTACACATTCTACCCCGACCACAACCCTTTTTACGATTTACTAGGACGGTTCTAGAACTTAGTGAGAACCAGTTTGCTGTGATGGGGGCTTAAGTAAATAATTTTCTATCGACACAGGTATGCAGGGAAGTTTCCTCACCTGGACAACCATCCAAACTTCAAGGAGATAGAAGTGCAATCCCTAGAGATGGAGGAAGCTGTTCAGCTCCTCTTCAAGTCGGTCCAGCAAGATCCCCGTGGTAACTTACCGGTCAAAGGTCAGCAGCTGATTACCAAGGAGCAGGCCGTGAGGCTGGCAGAGCACTGTGGCAATAACCCTCATGCGCTACAAGCCGTTGCAAGCCAGCTTAGATCAGGGAAGGACCCGGAGGCAGTGCTCCAGCTTCTCGCCAACCCGATGAAGATGGAACTGGTCCTCAATGATCAGAGTCTGTGGGGTCTTGGCCCGGATACTACTCAAGAGTCTGGCAGGGAATCCAATCAGGTAAGAAGGGTAGAAAAAATGCTTTATCAAATACCTTTTGGATTGGATTGGTAGAAAGAATAAAGAGAGGGATATTGATAGAGAGAGATATTGGTGGAGAGGGATATTGGTAGATTAGGTGTAAACAAATGTGGAGATGTGTAGGCTGGTCGAGAGAATGGTAGAACAGGAGATTGGTATAAAGGAAGTTTGGGATAAAGTGATGTTGAAATACAGGGGGATTGGAAGAGCGGGACATTGATTGAGAGAAGAGATGCCACTACTAAGGAAGTGACTCTAAGGTCTCAGAGGTACTTAAACTTATAATTGCCATATGCCTTATGTGACCTAGGTCCTCAAGTGCCTTGGTGTGATGTTTGAAGACATGAACCCTAACCTCAAGCTGCACCTCATTCGTCTGGCCGTCTTCCCTGGCCTCTTTAGTCAAACCTGGGGTCTGAAAATCCTTTCCGACGTGGACCAAGAAGGCTCCCGCCGCCAGTCCCAGTCCAAAACGCTGGAGTTTGAGCTCGATGACGTGGCAGACACGAGTTTACTTCTCCGAGAGTCTCTGGATATCTTTCAGTCTGTGGGTAGGAGAGATGCGAGGGCAAAAGAGAAGTTCTACTCCATGCACCCCCTGGTGAGATGCCTGTGTTTGATGAAGGTGGAGGCAGATGAGAAAATGAAGAGGGCCTTTCACTCCGGTCTCCTTTCCTTCATCGATGAATGCTTTCAGATACTCAGGGTAAGTACAACAGTTCAATCCTACCATAGCATACAAATCTTCATGTATGGCAAAGTAAAAGAAAAATATGTTGTGTAGTTAAAATGTTATTACAGGTATGACAGATAAGTCAATGTTGTTTCCCCCAATTATGTAAAATGATTGGGAGTGACAAAAGCGAATGAAAAATTGCTAGAATTTATTATTTCGGAACCAATAAACTATAAGTGGCAGATTATGATGGTGCCTACAAAGATCTCATCAAGTCACTGAGGGATTTCATGAAACCTGAACAATAGTTTAATAGAATAGGGAATTAGTTGACACTGCTGTACATTCTCTATGGAAGCCGGAAGAAACCTTATCGTCTTCTCCAGTATTGTATCTGCACCCAGTGTAGGAGGAAGGTAGCCACCTAATCTTGAACATTGTATTTGCAGTAGTTTAAATTATATTGCCTCTCGAATGTTCCTTCATAATATCATGGCATAATGTCAACTTTAGGATCTATAGAGGAAGCATGTGAAGGATCAAGAAGGGCAAGCTCTGAATTATTTTCTTTGTATGAAGATTTCAGTCCAAGGTATATGCAAAAATACAACTCGACCAATGTATACCTACCTGTGAGAGTCAGGAAGAGATATGGCTTTAATGATTCCTCATCTTCTACCTCGAAACCCTCCAGCAATTTACTGCCTATGATGACGAGGATGCCTGCGGAAGTTTACAGCGTCTTGAGAAGGAGAAGGCCAACATCACTCAGTACCTGGAGCTTGAGATGCATAAGACCTTCAGCGGGAAACCTCACCCCCTCACCAAGTACCTCCCGGAGTACCAACAGGTCCTTCGTCGATCCAACATGGCCAGGGAGAGCGACATCCTGACGTTCATGGATCGGTTAATGTTCACCAAGGAGAGATCTAAATTCTTTGTCCAAAGGGCGGAAGCTGCGAAGATATCTGGCGACATGCCTGGATGGGTCAACCATCAGGGGTGGTACGCCGATCAGGAGCTGCAGCTTCACAGGTGAGTTAGATTGTGATCCCACATTTGCTCCAAGGGCTTTATTTTGTCATTGCTTTTATAGGTTACACCTTTGAAATATTATTTGTGTATAGAATGTATAAAATCAACCTAAACAAATTCACCTAGCATTCTATGGCCTAATGGATAAATTAGTATGTAAATAAATAAGAACATAAATTTGTGCACACGGAACCCAAGTCAGACTTTGCTTCTATGCGGGCCTAATTTTCCCCTAGATGCGTCGAGTAGTCTACTCAAAAGTCGCTTTTATGTTAATTGAAAGTGCATATACCGGTATTCAAACTTGCCCAATCTCATTACAGAAGTAATGTTTGAATTTTTTTTGTTGAATTTAGTATTATGACTTGAAGCTACTGACAATTTTTAGGTGATCGGTTCACTTTAAGGCCTATATGACACATGCTCCAGTGACATTAGAGCTGTTTACTAAAGTATATCTCTCCTGTACCCCTATTTACGAAATATTGTTTGCAATATTTGTTTTGTTTATTTCACTGTGTCCATGGCTTTGCTCCACAGTACAGTATCACTTGAATAAATAATTACATTCCATCTAGATCTGTATGTACTCAAAAACTCTGCATTACCTGTTCTTATTTCCAATATTCTGAACTTCACCTGGAGGAAACACTATAGACCTAACCCTAACCTGACCCAAAACCCAGTTACAGCCCTGGTCCTTACCCTATGTCTTTGATGAAATAAAGCCTAAAGCAATTGTTACTGGAGATTTTGTTAGAACACCAGTTGAGGGGTAAGGTTCGGGCTGCTAAAGCCTCGTTCAAGATACGACGCTGCAAAACCGCAGTGTTTTTCATGATGATGTAAAGTGTAATACACTTCACATTTTGTATTTTATAATACAAAGCTCATTAAATATGCTAAGAAGTTTGTCGCGCGTAATTTACACGTAAATAAATGCTTTTTTGTGATGGTTTACTGCGTCATATCTGAACAAGGATTCTTATAGCTTGTCTCCAGTAGGTTAATTCGAGGTGTTTTGCATTCACTCATAAGTGAGGCTTTATCTCTTATGAATTGCACAGATACCATGAAGCTGAGACTGCAATCGCCAATCCTCTCTCCTACTGTGAGACTCAGGTTGCAATGACCCCTGACCTCAGGGAAGGTTACAGTCAGTGTCTATATGTCAAAGGTCAGTTGTTGAGAACCACATGTATACCGTGTGAGTCAAAAAAAAGTTTACACCTAGAAAATTGCTAATTATTTAAAAAATCATCTATGATTAGTAAATTATCACACATCTTATGAAAGAATGTTTTATCCCAAATCATTTGGTATCATTTTTGTGTTGAATGTGTTCACGCTTGGATGAACAGGAGGCATATATATTTGCGAGAGTAGAAAAATCGACTTGCGCCAAAGTGATGCCTACGTACGGCATGTATTATGTTGGGATTAGCGGAGTGAGAGAAGGAATTGAATGTATCAAATGAAATGCAATTCAAATGCTTTTTGCAGAAGCAAATTCACACACAGACGCGCAACTATGTTCGTTTATATTTGATATTCGATATTTGATATGTGTGGCATGATTAATTTTGTTAGGGATGTTCTTTGAATCTGCAAAGACCGAATTAATACCCAAAATCCCAAATCCCAATTAATTCCCAAATCCCAATTGTTTTATTCAAATATCACATAAGCAACTTTGGCGCAAGTCGATTTTTGCGCTCTCGCAAACAATGCCTCCTGTTCATCCAAGCGTGAACACATACCACACAAAAATGATACCAAATGATTTGGGATAAAACACTCTTTCATAAGATATATAATAATTTACTGTTCATAGATGATTTTTTAAAAATAATTAGCAATTTTCTAGGTGTAAACTTTTTTTATGACTCACACTGTATAGTTGTTTTATAAAATGGGTCCACATCAAGACTCAAAATACACGGAGCCTCAGTCAGAGTGGTCACGGGGTCGATTGCAAAATTAAAAATTGCCCCTGTGGAATTATAAAATAAAGATATAATCTTTTCTGTTATAACTTTCACACAATATTGAGTTTCAACTTTCAAACCTTAAACCAATCTATGGAAGTTATATTTTAATAGCGTGCAGAATTTGTCAGTGTCTAGAGACTGCCATATTGTTAAAAAATAAACGCTTTTTCGCCGCAAGATTGCGCTATATCTCACATCTCCACATCTCTATGGGTATTACGGATACAAACAACGGAAGCTTGCAGTGCACTGCAGCCGTCAGCAGTGGCTATACTAGCTGCGCCGGTAGTATACTGGTGTGCACACTGCCGCCCCATATCTGCTGGAGCTAGAGGCGATCGCGCAAGGACCGAAACATGGAGTTTTTCGTGATTCCAACTACCGGTAATTAGATTTCCTACATTCTAGAACCTTTTCAATAAAACCTTTATGATCAAGTCCTTTTATCAGCAAATAATGAACCTCGACCAGTAAATCAACTGAAAGCTAAAATTAGTCAATGGAAACCTGTTGGCAGGGAGGCGAATGTATACGGGCTTGGACCAGAAACTTCGTACAGAGGGAGGAGATCTGACCATTAGCTGCATGTTATAACTTGTAAGAGGGAAATAATGCTGACTATTAATGATAAAGATGAAATAGCAAAGAATTTAGGAGTATCATGGGTACCAATTCAATGGAAATTTGTATTAAAAAAAAAAGCCCCTGTCAGTACTAAAAGAGCCCCCGTGAGAAGGCTCACAGGGGCTCTTTTTTTTATGAAGAGCCCCCGTTGACAAAAAAATAATTTGAGCCCTGGTCCACATGCACTATGAATATAAAGTCGAGAAATAAGCAACAAACCCAATCAAAATGCGAAGTAATACACAGTTATGTGGGGCGCCATTTGTTTTGAATGACATCACAGTATACGTGCTAACGCGCATCAAAGTCCTTGGCATTTGCATCTACATGCATTTCATCGCGTCTTAATTTTCTACGCGTCAGAAATAAGCCGTGCATTATCACTCTATGATGAGAACTTTTTTGTGTAGAAGAAGAGATAATGATGCACGGTCATGGGGTGTCATTTGAATACCGGTAATTAGATTTCCTACATTTTAGAACCTTTTCAATAAAACCTTTATGATCAAGTCCTTTAATCAATGATTATCCTCTTTATTAGTCCAATCTTTCTATTTTATACCACGTACGTATGCCATTCTTATCTCATTCTCTGTTTCTTTTATTGTTGTTGTTGCATTCCATGTTTATGATCATCTGTCATTTTTCATTTAGTTTCAGATACTTTAAAAGTTTACCTTTGTTCAATATTTTGATAGGAATTTTCTCTCTCTTTACATGTATCTCTGTAACGCTGTTAACTAATGGCATGGTTATACATTAATGGTCTTAAAATATTAATTTTCAATAATTACGCATTTTGCATTCCAAACACATCTTTTTGTTGCGGCTAGCTACCGTATATTCACTATAATGCTAGGGGCTGTCACATTCTGTCCTCGTTCTCATTCTCAGGTAATCTATTAGTCCAAAAAAACCAGGCTACGAGCCACATACAGAACAAGAGGAGGGAGGAAGGTATCAAGGTTCTCAAGGAGTGCATCCAGGTGAGGGACCATCACCTTGGAAACAGCCTCGTCAGGGCACGCAGTATCAACGCTCTCGGTTCAGCATACTTCAAGTAGGTTCATTTCTGTCTTTCATATTATTTACATGGTCTATTGTAGATATACAGACAAATTAAGCATTAGCTTCATTTGCTAGATAGACTCTCTAGTGATATATTGCAATGAACTACACAGTACATTTAGAACATTGTGATGCATATTATTGGCATCTTACCTGAGGTCCTCTTACAATCTTTTAGTGTGAATTTACTGTCAGTGGCATATACACAGTATGTGTCGTATTACTATGTGTTCAATGTTGCATCCAGTCATTGTTATCATCACTCAATAGCTGTTGTAATGAAGAAAAATGTATACTGCATTATTATTTAATAAAACGCCCTACTGTGGAGGAAAAATACAAATAAAATTTTTTAAAAATGTACAAACTGAAAAATTTACCTAATAGAAGCAGTTGAGTATAAGTGCATTTGTGACTTTGGTGAAATAGCGTGTATAAGTGATTGTAGCGAGACAAAACAATGTAGAATCATTCCTGTTTTTATGCCTCCGCTACAAAGTAGCCGGAGGCATTATGTTTTCGGGTTGTCCGTCCGTCTGTACGTACGTCCCGTTCTCGTGATCGCATTATCTCAAGACCCCATAGATGGATTTGTGCCAAACTTGGGTCATGTATGTATCTTGCAAAGCCAATGAACTAAGTAGATTTTGGGGTCACCAGGTTGAAGGTCAAAGGTCACAGGGCTCACTATGTATCCACAAATAGCTTGTGATCACATTATCATGAGAATCAATAGACAGATTACTATCAAACTCAAGACATGTATATAGGGGCAGTTACACTGTCATCCAAACACGCCAAAAAATGCCAAACCGGAGCCTGGCCGCGATGTTACCAAGGGCAACTACGCTTTACCGGCAGACATGCCAAGCCCCAAACATTCCAAAACGAAGTGTGATCTTTTGGCGTGTTTTGGCGTGTTTTGGTGTGTTTGGCAAGTATAACCGCTCGCAGTTGTAACATCGCGATGTTAGGCACGCGACTTCCGGCACTTCCGGATTGTTACCCGCGCTCTTTTAAACCACGTTCTTCCCGTGTGATATTTATAGCATTTATAGAAATTCTCCAACCACAGATCATCATCCCATGAAGTCATAACAATGCTCTCCCAGAAATGCATTGATCTCGGAAGTACCCACACCGATCTTGGCAGCCGGCTGCTCTGTGGGTACAGAAGAACGAGGGTCAAAATGAGGTTGGTGAGCTCTTGCTGTCGCCTCATAAAGTACCTAAAAAAACGAGCACGACGATCACTTTCCCTACGACGTCGGCGAATTCTCATAATTCCAATTAACAACGATGATTTTCTTAACCTTCCCATATCGTTTTTACTACTAGATTTCGATTGAATTTGGGAAAACTGAATCAGCAGCCGTAGTCCGTACTTCGTAACTTATCCACTCTTGCCTCAAATACTACACGCGAGATAAACAAAACATATCGCATGCATGCGCATGGGATGTATCGCTATTTAGCTAGCTATAGCGCTAGCTGGAAATTGCGCGCGCTAAAAATCTTATAGCAGGCCGGGGTCAAAGGTCGGGAAGACTGCACATGCGCATTACCAACCGAAACACGCCAAAACATCGCTGAACAGCTCCGTCGGTGATGTTTCAGCACAAGTGTAACCGGGTGCACGAAACATCGCGACTTTTCAAAATGAGGTATTTGACAGTATAAATGCGCCTTATGTATCTTGCAGAGCCAATCAACTGATTAAGTTTTAAGTTCATCAGGTCAAAGGTCATGTGGCTCATTATGTATGCCTATAAAAAGCTTGTGCATGCATTATCACTAAAACCGACAGATGGATTTACAATCAAACTTGAATTTTTAAAATTGTGTCTGTTTTGGTTTGTAAAATGGCTCTATGGCGGAGGCATCATTTTAGACTGCGCGCAGTCGAAGTTCCATCTAGTTAATTTTACTGTTATCTGCCAATGAGAGCGTAATATCATTAGAAATGTTGTTGATGAATAATAACTTTAAGAGTGGAAAACACAATGATGCCTCTGGGGCTGTAGGTGTGCTTAACCCTTACTGTACTGGGCTGTTTTGAGCACCTCACTGACTGAGGGGGGGGGGGGGGACCTGGGAGGTCCCCCCCTCCCCTGTGATCTTGGCCGTCGTTATAGCCTAATTAATTATGCAAAATGCAAATTTTACGCATTTTACAGAAAACTCTACATATTTTTCTGTAGACTCGTGAAGAATCTTGAAAATGTTTTGAATAAATGTTTCCTTCATCTCAAATTCAAGAGGCTTCATTATTTTTATGATATTTGAAAATGCATAGGTTAATTTGCATAGATTATGAATACGCAAATTGCGCATTCATGAATATCAAATCTGGAAATATACAGCGAACTAAAATCATTACAAAAATTGTCAGACTCCAATTTTTGAATGTTGAAACTCAATATTCATATGAAACTTCTTTTCTAACACAAAATAGTTATTTTGATGTAATTAATAATGATAACTTATGCAAATGTTATGCCATTTTCAAATACTTATTTTCTTATGTATTTTATTGTTTTTTATTTCTTATTATATCTATTGTTTTATTTCTAATGTATTCTTTTGTTCTGGAAAACATCAAGTTACTTTGAGAAACATGAAAAAGCAATTTGATATCAATTCATATCTCCCACTTAGGAAGAAATACAGCTAAACCTGTATTCACATTTATGCTTGTACATGAATATATGCGATTCAAAATTCCAAGCGGTTGCGGTGCAATCTCCGAAAAAGTCGAGGGGGGCCTCCCCCCCCCCCCCCCCAATTCAGTAGGGGTTAAAGACTGAAATGAAGATCCACTCTTAGATAGACCTAGACTACACTTTCTGTCTAATGATTATTCAATTGATTTTGTTTTTCAATTTGTTTATCTTTAGAGGTAAGAAGTACGAAGAAGCCTTAGAGCAGCACAAGTTGGCCTTGGAGTTGCTAAAGACTGTTACCCAGAACCACCCAGAAATGCATCCAGACTTCTCTTTCTATCTGATGAATATTGGTACCTGCTACCATGAGCTGGGCTACAGCTATAGCCAGTCTATCACCCAGAAGGAGAAGGGAAGGAGGTAAGGGAACAAATATCCTCTATGATTGATTCGGGATGGGAGATACTCATGCAAATTCATGTGATCCATCATGACATTTATGAGGAACTGCAGACACTTTAAAGTACTTTCAAAGTAGCCCTTAACAAAATATAAGTACAGTCAAACCTGTGTTAACAACCACCTGTCCATAACAACCACTTTAAAAATCCCCTGTGAGATTTCATGTACCTAGTTAAGAACCTGTACACAACGACCACCTGTCTAACGCGACCAGCGGCCACTCATTTTATTTCCGCTGGCCACAATGACCACCATCGCCAGCCGTATAGTTACCAAAAACAGCCGTGTAGCGACCAGCCACAGCAGCACTTGAACAATTTATCTCACAGCTGGGCGATCGTCGGCACAGCTTATGAAGCTAGATCTAATTATATACCTCACTTAAGAAATCCAGCCATCTGATTGGTCGAAATTGCAGTCATAAACTTTAACCATTCCTGTAAAATTCCTGGTAAAATTCCAGTTACCATGGTTACTGGGAAAATAGTTCAGTCTTGGTGAAATACCCATAGGTTCACATGTTGAAAACTGGTTTGTGCGATCGAGGATACCGTACGTGTGCGAAGAATTGGTGGGTAATTTCAGTATGGCAATCTCGATTGTACTAAATTCCAAACCGAAGGCAAAAATGGCTGAAGAAACTCTCCCAAGATTTCAACTTCTTGATGATGATCAAATGCAAGACTTGCTGACAGTAAGAACACCAAAAAGGGTACGTTAAATTTCTCTATAAATTGTTTTCAAAATAGATCTAGTAGGCCTAGATTCTAGTAAGTAGGTCTAGTAGTGCTAAAATCCTTCCGGTAGAGATTGCACACATCCCTATGCATTGGCCATTGCGCACTAAATTGGTTGATGTTTTAATTACCAGAGATTCAAACTAATATTGCTCGTGATCCTGAAGGTGATACTCAATAAGTGAGGTGTCATATGAAAACGCAGGTTTTTCTCCATATTCTCCACATGGCTGGCCCACCCCCAAAATTGTAAAAATATCTTGCTTAGACTAGAATCTAGATCTAGTCTACTCTCAAAGATACACTCATAAAAAAACAACCGTGCAAATAAACTAGAGAAAGGCCAAGGTGGTGTCATAAGTTGACTCTTTTTTTTTTGGCATATAAAAGTATTAATGATTGCTTTAATATTCGAGAAATAGTTGTTTTTATACGCTCTCGGGAAGGTTACAATTGGGCTATTGTAACCTTCCCGAGAGCGTATGCCGAGGGCAATAGCCCAATTGTAACCTTCCCGAGAGCGTATAAAAACAATTATACAATGCCTACTAAGATTCTTGCAACCTCATTGGTCAATTCTTGATCACATGACATGCGCTAAAAGTAACCATTGAACTGCATCATTGACGCGGAGTGCAATTTCGTTTGATCCTTTCGCACCATTGCACTCTGACGTCACTAACGATGTACAAAGTATATGGTGAGCTAAGTGACGTCAGAGTGCAATGGTGTGAAAGGATCAAACGAAATTGCACTCCGCGTAACAATAAACATAAAGGTTTGTACGCGCGTGGTTTGCTGCCTGCTTAATAGTGCGCGCTCACTATCAGCAATTTCATAAATTGAAAACAAACAAAAATCGCTGAGATTGAGGCCTAGGAAAACTGTTTTAAGCCCGTTAACGTCCGAGGTGTTGTATAAAACAAATAGTGAATGGTCTTTATTCGTGCAATGGAACAATATTTTGCATTCGGTGAAAGATGAGACGCTCCATTCAACTCGGCTGCGCCTCGTTGAATATAGCGTCTCTTATTTTTCACCTCGTGCAAAATCTTGTACCATTGCACTCATGACCATTCACTATTTGTATACTATTTCTCTCAAAGCAGTCATTATTACTATTCAATCCTAAGCTTTTATTAAAACTTCAATCAAAACATTAAATTACAGACAGGATATTGTTTCTCGCATATTTCATTATGGACTGTGCATAACAATATAGAGTCATTGTCATGCAATGATGACTCGCTTGTTCGTCGTGGAGAGTGGAGAGTGTCTGTAAATCAAATTTTTAGGCTCGTTCATATCATTTCTTTTAAATAACTTTGATATGAAGGTTCATGGTATCAAAACACATCCTAAGTTCGATTTCAGAGTATGTAGGTCAAAGTTCATAGCTCATTAAATAACATGGGCCAGCTGGTTTTGCGTAATATAACATTTCCTTTTTTCAACGGCTTTTTCAAATTATCATATATTTGTGGTGGTACACAAGTATTAGAAATTGTTATATTTATGGATATTTTAGCCGTCTCTGAACCGAATTTTTATCAAACAAAGATGATTTTATCATTTAAATTCAAATTGTTCTTTCAAATTTAACACTCAGTTTTTCGTTATCTCACCAAAAAAATATTTTGAGTAGTGCCCTCTGCGACAGAACTCAACTATCCCTTTAACTAAAAACCGTACCACTCTGTGTTTGTTTATGAATTTTTAAACACCAACAAAATAAACTTGCGTTTGTTAGATTATCGATCGGCTCTCTGTCTCCTTTTTTGCCCGACTGAGCCCTTTTAAAGCCGAGAATTGATTGCGCACCGGCTGAGGCCTTGCGAGTGCTGTCAATCAATTATTCAAAATCAAAAAACGGCCGCCAACGCATACCTGTCTACAACGGCCACTATGTGTTTCCCTTGGGTGGACGCTATAGACAGGTTTGACTGTATGTATCAATGGAAAGCTTTTTTTGAGAATATTTCAGATTTTTTAAATACTTAATTAAGTCACAACAACCGAAAAACATGAATTTTTCATCAGTCATTTTCTCGCCCAAACGACACCAATAAAACGCCCAAAATAATGTGACGTAGGCGATTGGTTATGTCCCCAAAACAAACAAAAGCTTGTACCCAGCTACACGGAGTCTATGGCTTTTGCCCTATAAGTTTGTCGCATGTTTTGATTGTCTTGCACGTATGTTCTTTGAATTAAATAAAGATAAACTAAAAACGAAAGAAAGTGTATATTGCTTATTACATAAAACTGACAAAGAAATTATACAGATAAAAGAAATCAATGAAAATTAACAAAATATGTAAGTATTATTGCCAGTATTCAATTTTGTGCTCAAATCACACTGACCAACAAAATCATATCAAATCAAACATCGCATAATTCTCATTATTTGTATTGTATATTGGTCAGCGAAGGCTTTTTGATTTTTAGATGGAAATCTGATTTTTAGATGAAAATCTTGGTTGAAATCGTTATGACGAAAAGTTGCGTTGAAAACATGAAGATCAAATGTCCAACTGAATAAATCTCGTATCAGGCCCAAGCAAGAGTTGCTATGCACCTCACTTAAGTAGTAAACTGAAATTTGGGCACTGATAAGTTGAAAAAGTCATAAAAAGTACCGGTAGTCAATTATGACCAAGAGCACAAAACATTATGGCTCTCAACTATATAGGCGAGAGATGGACGGTGTGGTAAAAACATGCACAAAAAACGCATTGAATCTAAAAACGTGGTTATTCTTTACATTCTATACGCACTATCATTACTAATTAGAAAATAAACAAGAACATAAATCAAATACTCATTAATGCCTTAACATAGTATATTCTAATAAATGGTGATTCAGAGTATAATTTTGTTTATAATACTCTGTATCAAAAATGTATACATGTAAACAGAAATATTATACTTAAACAAATATTAGCACCTCTTAATCAAAACATGAATATTCATTAAAAATGACGTCAGTTAACGGCAGTGCTACATAAGTCCCCCCTCAGATCTGAAGCTGCTGAAAGCACCTGAAGGGCGAATAAATTGATGTTTGAAAGAAAATTAACCCATAAAGGAAATAAAGCGACCATATTTTTAATACCTTATTTTGTGACACTGGCACATCACTAATTAGCGTAGGGTCGTAGAGTTGCGTAGTGTTGCGTACCAACTACGCTGAGCGTACGCTAGCCTACGTTACAGTTACTATACCCTGAGGGTACGCAAGATGGACGCAAACAATTAAACATGTTCATATTTTTCTAGAAACCTGACACAGAAAGTACGCCTTTTTTACGCAACACTACGCTACTGGACGCCACAGTATGGTACCCTACGCCAGATTGACAAAGCAGTAAAAGCTTGCGCTTTCACATGTTAATGCGTAGCACCGCAAATTGCATACGCCTTAGGTATGTGGTGCCTATGCACCGGACACGTAACCACACGCCATTGTATGCCAGCCTACACATAACCTACGCAGGGACTATACCGTGTGAGTCAAAAAAAAGTTTACACCTAGAAAATTGCTAATTATTTTTAAAATCATCTATGAACAGTAAATTATTATACATCTTATGAAAGAGTGTTTTATCCCAAATCATTTGGTATCATTTTTGTGTGGTATGTTTTCACGCTTGGATGAACAGGTGGCATTGTTTGCAAGAGTGCAAAAATCGACTTGCGCCAAAGTGATGCCTACAGTATGTATTATGTTGGGATTAGCAGAGTGAGAGAATGAACCGAATGTATCAAATGAAATGCATTGCATATGTTTTTTGCAAAGGGCAAAGTCACACACACCCACACACACGCGCACACATATTTGTTGATATTTGATATTCGATATTTGATATGTGTGGCATGACTAATTTTGTTAGGGATGTTATTTGGATCTGCATAGACGGAATTAATACCCAAATCCCAATTGTTTTATTCTAACATCACATAGGCAACTTTAGCGCAAGTCGATTTTTGCACTCTCGCAAACAATGTCTCCTTTTCATCCAAGCGTGAACACATACCACACAAAAATGGTACCAAATGATTTGGGATAAAACACTCTTTCATATTAAAGACATTTAACAATTTAATGTTCATCAATGATTTTTTTAAATAATTAGCAATTTTCTAGGTGTAAACTTTTTTTTGACTCACACTGTATGCAGCAAAGCAACATTTTTAAAATTAATACACAGCCTGTATGCGTTGTCGGTACGCCACACTACGCAACTCTACGCAACCGCAAAATGGCTGCCACAGCAAAGAGCGCCCGTTTAACGGGCGCAAACAGCTAGTTAATATTATTATTGTATCCCCCGGCAGTATGCCGGTGGGGTACTTTGGATTCGGCAGCATTACGACGCTGCGTCCACCACCGCCGCGTCATATTCTTGTGTGCGCTCTAACTGCCACATTCATTAAAGGATTTCTTTCAAATTTTGTATGGAGGTGTATCTTGGTATAATCTACACACCTATAACTTTTGGTGATGCTGCCCCCAGTGTTCCGTCTTCTATAGGGTAACAGGCCATGATTTTGTGGATGGCTTGTGTGCTCTCTATAGGCCACATTTCTGAAGGGATTTTGTTCAAATTTTGAAAGAAGGTGTATCTTGGTATAATCTACACGCCTATAGATTTTGGTGATGCTGCCTCCGATGTTCCGTCTTTTATAGGGTCAAAGGTCATATTTTGATAAATTTCTTGTGTACACTCTATAGTGTGTGGTCTAACTGCATCATTCCTTGAGGGATTTCTTTCAAATGTTGTATGGAGGTGTATCTTGGTATAATCTACATACACCTTTTGGTGATGCTGCCCCTAGTGTTCCATCTTCTATAGGGTGAAAGGCCATATTTTTGGGGATGGTTTGTGTGTGCTCTATATGCCACATTTCTCAAGGGACTTTGTTCAAATTTAGAATGAAGGTGTATCAATCTTGGTATAATCTACAAGCCTATGGATTTTGGTGATGCTGCCTCCATTATTCCGTCTTTTTTAGGGTCAAAGGTCATATTTTTAAAGATGTCTTGTGTGTACTCTAGTGTGCGGTCTAATTACTGCATCATTTCTTAACAGATTTCTTTCTTTCTTGGTACAATCTACACATCTAAACTTTTGGGCAATGCTACCTATAATGTGGGGTTGTTTAGCTGTATGGTTAGTACTCAAATGAAGACACATAGAGAAACATCAGAGTTAGGTTGCAATCCAGCATACCTGGTTATATTGTGTATCGAAGAGCCCATACACCACAGTGTACATTAACTGTGTGTATGTGTGTATAGCATGTAGCATTGAGTCAAGGTATAAGATCACATATTACATCCCCCTTACAGAAAAATAAACTGAGTCCATAATGTCCAAACTTGAAATATCCAGGATGAAGTCCTATCAATAAGTCAATTTCTCTGGCTTCTTGATATTACCCGGCCACTGCGGGTAGTCTGCTGGTGGTTGGGGCTTGGGGCAGGGGTTGGGGCAGGGGTTGGGGCAGGGGTTGGGGCAGGGGTTGGGGCAGGAGGACCTCCGATGTCGGGCGTTGGATCAAGCGTCATCTCTTCGCGTGTATGAGGATCGGGTGTCTTTGTTACCTCCTCATCGTGATAGATACGCCTGGGCTCAATATCAGCGAGGTGTTGCCGGTTTCTGCGTAGCACCCTTCCATTAGGCGTCTCGACGAGGTATGACCTAGGCTCATGGCATTGCTCACGAACAGTAGCTGTTATCCAGTGACGTGATGTCTGGTCTTGGACTCTCACAAGCTGTCCAGGTGAGAGTGGTGCTAGTTCATGGGCTGATTTGTCGTGATGATACTTCTGGCTCTGCTGTCGAAGCTGCATGCGATGGTTAACATCATCACGACCTGGGGAGTTGTTGCGGATTCGGGTTGGTAAGTTGTCCTTCATCTTCCTCCCGTAAAGAAGCTCAGCTGGACTTGGTATGCGGCTGTCAATGGGAGTGGCACGGATACATAGTAGAGCCATGTTGGGGTCGATACCACTCGCTTTAGCTTTCTTGAGCGTATTCTTGACAGTTTGAATCATTCGCTCAATGAAGCCATTTGACCTGGGGTAGTGGGGAGAGGATGTAACATGGCTGAATCCCCACTGTGTAGCAAAGTCTCTGTATGTTGAGGAGTCAAAATGTCTTCCGTTGTCGCTAACGATTCTTTCTGGAACTCCTTGTTCTGCGAACACCTGACGGGTCGCATTGACTACTGCAGCACTGGTACACTCTTGAGGCATTTTCCGGATGAAAGGGAACTTTGAGAAGTAATCTGCAATGATGAGATAATTGTTCCCTTCAAAGTGAAATAAGTCTGTACCTAAGACTTGCCAGGATCGTGTAGGTATCTTGTGCTGGAGAAGAGTCTCATGGGGCTGCGAGGGCTTGTACTCTTGGCAGACTGAGCAGCCTTTCACCAGGACCTCGATATCGTCATTGATCGATTCCCAGTACACAGAAGCCTTAGCCCGAAGTCGTGTCTTCTCGATACCTTGATGACCTTCGTGAAGCTTGCTCAGTATGTACTCCCTCATGGAGTGTGGAATAAGGATTCGTTCACCATTCAGGATCAGTCCATCCTCAACTGCAAGTTGATCTCGAAAGGCCCAGTATCTCTGCAGCTGCCGTGGTACCTCACGTCTCTTCTCTTCTCTTCACGTCTCTTCTCTCTGAGAATGAAGGTGTATCTTGGTATAATCTACAAGCCTATGGATTTTGGTAATGCTGCCTCCATTATTCCGTCTTTTATAGGGTCAAAGGTCATATTTTTAAAGATGTCTTGTGTGTACTCTAGTGTGCGGTCTAATTACTGCATCATTTCATAACAGATTTCTTTCTTTCTTGGTACAATCTACACATCTAAACTTTTGGGCAATGCTACCTATAATGTGGGGTTGTTTAGCTGTATGGTTAGTACTCAAATGAAGACACATAGAGAAACATCAGAGTTAGGTTGCAATCCAGCATACCTGGTTATATTGTGTATCGAAGAGCCCATACACCACAGTGTACATTAACTGTGTGTATGTGTGTATAGCATGTAGCATTGAGTCAAGGTATAAGATCACATATTACATCCCCCTTACAGAAAAATAAACTGAGTCCATAATGTCCAAACTTGAAATATCCAGGATGAAGTCCTATCAATAAGTCAATTTCTCTGGCTTCTTGATATTACCCGGCCACTGCGGGTAGTCTGCTGGTGGTTGGGGCTTGGGGCAGGGGTTGGGGCAGGGGTTGGGGCAGGGGTTGGGGCAGGGGTTGGGGCAGGAGGACCTCCGATGTCGGGCGTTGGATCAAGCGTCATCTCTTCGCGTGTATGAGGATCGGGTGTCTTGGTTACCTCCTCATCATGATAGATACGCCTGGGCTCAATATCAGCGAGGTGTTGCCGGTTTCTGCGTAGCACCCTTCCATTAGGCGTCTCGACGAGGTATGACCTAGGCTCATGACATTGCTCACGAACAGTAGCTGTTATCCAGTGACGTGATGTCTGGTCTTGGACTCTCACAAGCTGTCCAGGTGAGAGTGGTGCTAGTTCATGGGCTGATTTGTCGTGATGATACTTCTGGCTCTGCTGTCGAAGCTGCATGCGATGGTTAACATCATCACGACCTGGGGAGTTGTTGCGGATTCGGGTTGGTAAGTTGTCCTTCATCTTCCTCCCGTAAAGAAGCTCAGCTGGACTTGGTATGCGGCTGTCAATGGGAGTGGCACGGATACATAGTAGAGCCATGTTGGGGTCGATACCACTCGCTTTAGCTTTCTTGAGCGTATTCTTGACAGTTTGAATCATTCGCTCAATGAAGCCATTTGACCTGGGGTAGTGGGGAGAGGATGTAACATGGCTGAATCCCCACTGTGTAGCAAAGTCTCTGTATGTTGAGGAGTCAAAATGTCTTCCGTTGTCGCTAACGATTCTTTCTGGAACTCCTTGTTCTGCGAACACCTGACGGGTCGCATTGACTACTGCAGCACTGGTACACTCTTGAGGCATTTTCCGGATGAAAGGGAACTTTGAGAAGTAATCTGCAATGATGAGATAATTGTTCCCTTCAAAGTGAAATAAGTCTGTACCTAAGACTTGCCAGGATCGTGTAGGTATCTTGTGCTGGAGAAGAGTCTCATGGGGCTGCGAGGGCTTGTACTCTTGGCAGACTGAGCAGCCTTTCACCAGGACCTCGATATCGTCATTGATCGATTCCCAGTACACAGAAGCCTTATGCCTAGTTGACACTTTCACGATTTTCGGTTCCCGCATAGTTCACGCACTGAAATTGCATCATGCGTGCCAATGCGTGGACACTTGCGGGAAGGGGCGGGACGATGCGCGGCAATGCGCGGCAATGCGTGAAGAGCGAAAAAAAATTTCAACATGTTGAAAATTTTGCCACACACTTCCCGCATTGCAGCAGTGCGTGAACTGTGCGCAAACTATGCGCAAACAAGTCGTGCCAATGCGTGCCAGTGCGTGGCGTAAAAACAGTGGGTACCCCACCCCCGGGAATGTGGCACGCACTTCACGACTAGTTCACGACATGGTCCCGCATAATTTGCGCAGTGGTTGCGCATCCTTCGCGCACTTTCACGCAAGGATCGCGCATATCAGTCACGTGATGCGTTTTGTCAAAATATTCTTGTTTGAGCCAGCAGCAAAATCATGGCTTCATCCTCCTCATCAGATAATGATGGGACAGAGAACACAGAGCATGAAGAGAAAACTAAGCGAACAAAAAGAGCACGTACATCTAAAAGGGATGTCCCAGAGTACAAGTGGACCGAAGACGCTGTTCAATTAATAGCCGATTTTGTGAAGGAAAATTCAGCACTATATGATAAGACCCAGAAAGATTACATGAATGTTGCTACGAAGGGAAGGATGTGGGCGAATGGCGGTAAATTATTGGATCCACCTGCCACTGGTAAGTTCTCAATTTTGATGGTTGGTTAGTTAAGTTCCATACCCATGTTTTAAAAATCCTCCTTTTGTTTTTTGTTGTCTGCATTACTAGTTAATAAGAAAGTAATTTACTGGGAAAATAATTGTTGATATTTTCCTTTATAGAAATTAAATGTTTTTATTTTTTATTTTTAGGGTTAAACTTCACCACACAAATAGCCTATTTATTGTTTTCCTTGTTTTTAATGTAGGGGACCAGTGTAAGAAGTTGTACGAAAATAAGCGAACTCGGCTGGGAAAGATATTGAACAAGGAGAAAAAAAGTGGATCTGGGCAAACCAACAGAACGACACGTGATGATGAGATAGTGAACACGTGGGGATTTCTGAAGCAACACATTGTTCGTGGCAAGACAACGGCAAGTGACACGGTAGGTATATAAATGACCAATTCACAATTTTTATATTGAAATATTAGAATAACCTTGAAATAACCTTCAGAACCCTTTTCATAATTTTCATTTTGATGTTTCTTCACCTTGCAGTTTGATAGAGAAGGGGAAGTGCACGAACGAGAAGATGATGAAGTTTCTATCATGTCAGTTTCAGAAGATATGGATAATGAGACCTTGATCCCGTTGAAGGATCGGGTCCCAAAGTCGGCACGCTCCGAAGCCTCTGGAACTTCTGGCAGTAGAACTCCAGCTTCTCGATCAAGTACTGTTTTGCAGAATAACCTCGACGATGCTCTCCGTCAGGTAGGCATTATAGAACTTTTTTTTTTTTTTTTTTTTAAACAATTGAATACATTACCTAAGCCGGATCCACTTTCAATAGTTCCATTTGGAAACTATAGAAATTAATTCACAACAAAAAGTATCATTGAAAATTAATTCTTCGACAATCGATCTAAATTTGTTGAGTATATGGCAGTAAATGACAGTAATCAGACCCTGACTTTAATTGCCTTACTAAATTACATTTGGTTATATTGTTTATGCCTTTCAGGTTCTTTCAAGAGCGGATAATTTGGGCCAGACAGCTGCTTTGACAGGTCAAAAAAAGATCGTCCATGATTTTGCCTGTCTTCTGGAGGGCCATATGCAGAAAATTCCAGAGGAATCGTGGCACAGTTTCCAAATTGAATGTCTGCAACTCGTTCACAATTTCAAACAGCCAACCAGGCCAACTCAACCATGTCAACAGCAACCCTCGTCATGGCAGTCAAACCAGTGGCCAATCAATAGTCATTGGTCCAATTTCAATCAATGGTCTCCAACAAGTCCATCCTTCAACAATGTTGGGATGCCAGCCGCGCCTTCAGCTGTGCCTGTACCGATACCAACGTCTTCTCAGCAGTCCACTGCTTCGACCCCACCCTCCCGACGTAGTAATGAGATGGTTTCCTCGGTTCTGGAAGAGCTTGGAGAAGAAAAATAATGTGTTCAACAGCAGCCGGTGATTAAGAAAAGGCAATACTGGTTGCAAAACTAACGTCTTCCATATCGGGACACTCTTTCAGTACTTACCTTAATTCTTACATGGTAAAAAAAAATAAAAGTAAAAAAGAAATTGTTATTTGTTGTTGCCTTTGCAAGGAATTTTATTAAAAACCCACTCGGCAAGAAAACCATTTATTTATACATTTGGAACAGAGGTATAATATTTTCTGAAACGTAAACCAGAACTACACACTGAAGAGCAAGGGTAAAATGTGACAGTTTGATCAAAGTCGGAAAATATATTCCAGATTTTTGAATGTTCTGAGTTCCAGGGAGAGCTTCGATGGATATTCTCGATTTAGACATTTTGACATATACTCATGCATGATGCTTTTATCAAGAAACAAAATGAAAGGTTTACTGAGTGGAAGATTTTTTGGTTCCTACGTTTTTACATTTGTTCTAGTAGTTGATTAGTTCATGTTACTCACTTGTTACAACTTTAAAGTGTTCAAAATATCATTGAGAAATCTTGGTAATTATAACATGTCTATAAGGTAGTTCAAATTGGAGATTCAGTTGTCAGTCACCATGAAACTAAACGTTATCCTGCAGACTTATTTTCTTTTCTTCATCACACGTTATTTAAATTGCATTTATGTGAGCATATCCAGAATGCCTAAGTTTTCTACTCGGTTATGTTTCTTTTATTAAAAAACACGCAATTCGTGCATTCTGATTGCTTCTGATTACAAGTCTCTTATTACACACAAAAAACAAAACATGTAAAGTTGTTTATATTAAGAGTAACATATTGACAAATCAAAGGCTAATCAAAGACTGCAAAGATAGGTGAATATCAAGGCCTTTAATAAAATGCGTAACTATAAGCACTTGATATTTTTCATTGGATTTCAAAAATGATTGTTAAGTTTCCGCACAATTCGTTCAAGTGCACCTATTCATACGAGATAACACCGTCAACTGTTTGACTATTACATATATAAATATATTAATAGCATCTTCTTAAACGATGTAAAAGCATGATCGAATCAATAAATGATATTCAATTTCCCAGTTTTTCCTATCTCTCACAGATGTTTTGTGTAAAATATGATTGATGAATGGATACAATAATTCATTAATAAAGCGCAAGCTGAACGTCTCCAACGTCAGTCTACCGTCTGATCCGCGTTCAGGAAGCGTTTTTAATTTTCAAAAACGCTGGGCCGACGCAGGCTAAAAACGCAAAGGTGTGACACAGCCTTAACACGTGACTCTTGGTCACGTGTCATGACGTATGTCATGCACTTCCTGTCTGCTATAGCTTATTATAACTTTTTGTTTGTAAGAATCCGTTTTAATCCATGAGTGGTTATTTTTCAAAACATTCAAAAGGTTGAATCAATAAATGTATCTGTACCTGTGTTTATATCGACCCCCCAAAAAAACCAAACTGTTCTTCTTGCGTTAAAGGGTTGCAAAGGGGGGATTTAAAAACAATAAGATATAATAAAATACCTGCAGAGAAGTGCATGGCATACTTCATGCCACGTGACCCAGCGTTGCCAGTTAGCATGATAAATAACTTTTGCGTTATATTCATAACTTTCTTATTTATTGTCCGATTTACTTCAACGTTTTTGGTTTTGTTTTAATTGTTTTGTTTTTCGTCTGATTTATCTGCGTTTAATCAATACAAGATTTTTTTCTGGTGCGGACCCAGTCTTTAAATGTGCGTTCGTGTGTATGTGTGTGTGTGTGTGTGTGTGCGTGCGTGTGAGGAGTGGGGTTTGTGCAAGCTTCTACATATGCCCCGACACCAACTGCATCACGTTTATGTTCAACAACAAAGCTTACCAAAACCCCTTAATTTCCTGACAACATTAATTGCTGATACACTGTAGAATTTTTGTGTACATAAAGACAAACACATTATAAAACACTGATCTCATATCCTAAGTTTAAAATCAGATGTACAACAGACGGTTGATATTGGAACGATGTCGGGCCTTGTTGAAATACATAACCATTCAAGAAATAAAATGTCATTTGTGTCAGTGTCATTTGGCATTTTTTGTGGAATTGAGCTAGTGCTATACTGCATCACAATAATGTCATAGTTAATCTGCTTAGGTTATCATCTTTTCTTGCCAGGAAACTGCTCCAGCGCGGGAGGTGTAATAATGTGATAGATATGCACGTTGGCTCTTAGCTTCCTTGATAGAAGTGTTTCCTGTCGGAGCTCTCAGACCGTGAAACACGGGGTCGTCTCTCCATGCACCAGGTATCATCGCATGCGTAGATGGATCTTCATGGTCTACATCTCCTGATGCCAGTGGGTACCTGGTTAATATCAGATTATGTAGGACGCAGGCACTCATGATGATTAAGTTGGTAGTTTGGGGCTTCTGCGGAAGTGTAGTCAGGAAACATCTGAACCTAAATCAAGTAATACCATAAAACAAGAGCCCATCAATATGAAATATATATATATTTTTTACGATCTGTACATATGAATCTTGATTTTAAAATAATCACGCTTCATTTGGAGTAAAAACAAAATATTGTACTTGTTATTTGGAGAAACTAGATATACTGAATACTAAAGAAAAAGATCACTATAATAAATACAAACAAAATGAGAGCATCTGCTTAGTGTATCATTTCAGATTTGTTAGCAATTGCAGTCTCGCATGGTATTTTGTGCGTAAGCTGCAGAAATAGCAACATGTGTTGATAAAATAAACACCATATAAAAATTCTACGTTATGCTGGTTTAAACAAAGTGGGTTATTATGATAACAACTCCTTTCTGGGGGGAAGTTAAATATTTGTATTCAATGTGTTTGAACTTTTAAAGCAATATGCACTGAGAATGGAAATGAATACAGAAAGAAAGGGAGACCTACCTGTGAGCCAAAATACCAAACGAGTTTTCCACTACTCGCCTAGCTCGGCTTAGTCTATAACTGAAGATGATCTCCTCATGAACTTGGGACCTATGTGAGAAGGGCTTCATTAGCCAGGGCTTCATCGCAAATGCATCGTCAGCCACAAATTGGAAAGGTATGGGCATGTCATCATTGGGCATTGGTTCCGGTGGCGGCACCCCTGCTCTTTCCCCTTCTATGGCATCATACAAGTTGCAGTTTTTCCAAGTTCCACCATCTGAAGAGCCACCCTCAGCTCCAACATCCACATACAGAAACTTATATTCTGCATCTGCTACAGCCATGAGAACAATACTATGGAAACCTTTATAGTTAAAGTACAAGGACCCAGACTTTGGCGGCTTCCTGATTGCCACGTGTTTGCCATCGACGGCACCAAGGCAATTATGATAGTTCCATCTGGAACTGAACTTCTTGGCCACATCCTTCCACCCATCTTCAGTTTTTGGACAGCTGAGTACTTCCTTTTTATACACTTCAATGAGTGCATTACATACTTCGGGAATAAATCTCGATATGGTGCTTTTCTCAACTCGGAAGCTGTACTGTAATGTAGCATAAGAATTTCCTGTTGCCAAGAAACGGAGAGTGACGGCTAGTTTCAGTCCAACTTCTAGTGGTTCTCGCATAAACGTTGTTTTCTTCTCCAGATGAGGCGTTAGCTTTCCAACCATTTCCTCAAACAGATCAGGAGTGATTCTCAAGAAATTCTTATAGCTCTTTTGATCCTCCCTATGCAGCTCTGCCAGTAAATGATCAAAATGTCCGTGGATGTGGCGTCTTGACAGCCAATCTCTCACCCACAATGTCCTCCTTTTTCTTTTTCCTTTTTTCTCCTCTTCTCGTCTTTCTTCAAGATCTCTTTCTTGTTGATAAACTATTAATGCTCCTGCAGCTACATATAAACACCTTCTCTGTTCTAAATTAGCTTCTTCAGAATTCAACATCTTAATGACGATAGTTATGCTGAATTAATGAAAAACACGAGAGCGAATAGACGTCTGCCTTGTTTTTTGTGATAGTTAACACAATGCGCAAACTAGTTGTGAATAGTCGTGAACTATGCGTGAACTATGCGTGAACTATTCGTGAACTATGCGTGAACAATGCGTGAACAATGCGGGAACTATGCGTGACAGTGCGTGTCACTGAAGTGGCACGCACTGTCACGCACTGGCACGCATTCAATGCGGGGCAGTGCGGGACCAAAAATCGTGAAAGTGTCAACTAGGCATTAGCCCGAAGTCGTGTCTTCTCGATACCTTGATGACCTTCGTGAAGCTTGCTCAGTATGTACTCCCTCATGGAGTGTGGAATAAGGATTCGTTCACCATTCAGGATCAGTCCATCCTCAACTGCAAGTTGATCTCGAAAGGCCCAGTATCTCTGCAGCTGCCGTGGTACCTCACGTCTCTTCTCTTCTCTTCACGTCTCTTCTCTCTTAGAATGAAGGTGTATCTTGGTATAATCTACAAGCCTATGGATTTTGGTAATGCTGCCTCCATTATTCCGTCTTTTATAGGGTCAAAGGTCATATTTTTAAAGATGTCTTGTGTGTACTCTAGTGTGCGGTCTAATTACTGCATCATTTCATAACAGATTTCTTTCTTTCTTGGTACAATCTACACATCTAAACTTTTGGGCAATGCTACCTATAATGTGGGGTTGTTTAGCTGTATGGTTAGTACTCAAATGAAGACACATAGAGAAACATCAGAGTTAGGTTGCAATCCAGCATACCTGGTTATATTGTGTATCGAAGAGCCCATACACCACAGTGTACATTAACTGTGTGTATGTGTGTATAGCATGTAGCATTGAGTCAAGGTATAAGATCACATATTACATCCCCCTTACAGAAAAATAAACTGAGTCCATAATGTCCAAACTTGAAATATCCAGGATGAAGTCCTATCAATAAGTCAATTTCTCTGGCTTCTTGATATTACCCGGCCACGGCGGGTAGTCTGCTGGTGGTTGGGGCTTGGGGCAGGGGTTGGGGCAGGGGTTGGGGCAGGAGGACCTCCGATGTCGGGCGTTGGATCAAGCGTCATCTCTTCGCGTGTACGAGGATCGGGTGTCTTGGTTACCTCCTCATCATGATAGATACGCCTGGGCTCAATATCAGCGAGGTGTTGCCGGTTTCTGCGTAGCACCCTTCCATTAGGCGTCTCGACGAGGTATGACCTAGGCTCATGGCATTGCTCACGAACAGTAGCTGTTATCCAGTGACGTGATGTCTGGTCTTGGACTCTCACAAGCTGTCCAGGTGAGAGTGGTGCTAGGTCATGGGCTGATTTGTCGTGATGATACTTCTGGCTCTGCTGTCGAAGCTGCATGCGAGGGTTAACATCATCACGACCTGGGGAGTTGTTGCGGATTCGAGTTGGTAAGTTGTCCTTCATCTTCCTCCCGTAAAGAAGCTCAGCTGGACTTGGTATGCGGCTGTCAATGGGAGTGGCACGGATACATAGTAGAGCCATGTTGGGGTCGATACCACTCGCTTTAGCTTTCTTGAGCGTATTCTTGACAGTTTGAATCATTCGCTCAATGAAGCCATTTGACCTGGGGTAGTGGGGAGAGGATGTAACATGGCTGAATCCCCACTGTGTAGCAAAGTCTCTGTATGTTGAGGAGTCAAAATGTCTTCCGTTGTCGCTAACGATTCTTTCTGGAACTCCTTGTTCTGCGAACACCTGACGGGTCGCATTGACTACTGCAGCACTGGTACACTCTTGAGGCATTTTCCGGATGAAAGGGAACTTTGAGAAGTAATCTGCAATGATGAGATAATTGTTCCCTTCAAAGTGAAATAAGTCTGTACCTAAGACTTGCCAGGATCGTGTAGGTATCTCGTGCTGGAGAAGAGTCTCATGGGGCTGCGAGGGCTTGTACTCTTGGCAGACTGAGCAGCCTTTCACCAGGACCTCGATATCGTCATTGATCGATTCCCAGTACATGGAGTGTGGAATAAGGATTCGTTCACCATTTAGGATCAGTCCATCCTCAACTGCAAGTTGATCTCGAAAGGCCCAGTATCTCTGCAGCTGCCGTGGTACCTCACGTCTCTTCTCTTCACGTCTCTTCTCTCTTAGAATGAAGGTGTATCTTGGTATAATCTACAAGCCTATGGATTTTGGTGATGCTGCCTCCATTATTCCGTCTTTTATAGGGTCGAAGGTCATATTTTTAAAGATGTCTTGTGTGTACTATCTAGTGTGCGGTCTAATTACTGCATCATCTCTTAACAGATTTCTTTCTTTCTTGGTACAATCTACACATCTAAACTTTTGGGCAATGCTACCCTCATTGTTCCGTCTTTCATATGGTCAAAGGTCATATGTCTTTTATGCACTCTAATTGCTAAATTATGCCCCCCCCCTTAAGATCTCGGCCGTCAAACGGCGGATCTCCGCGAAAATTTGCACGCATGTCCAGTGAAGTGTATAAAATACTATATTTGTTTTATATTTTGTTTAATTCACTTATTTGCATATTTTATTTATTTATGCAAATAAGGTCATAAATCACATTTTTACCCATAAATCATATATTATTCATATTTAAGCATTCTTTTTCACTACATATATTCATTAGACCGTTTGGAATAATAATACAACAAAAAATTGTGAAGAGCAAGCTTATTCCTTATGTTATCTTTTGTTTTGATAATTTCTGATGTATTTCATTGTTTTTTTAATTCTATGATATATATATTTTTTTTTTATAAATTTCACTTATTTGCATATTTTATTTATTTATGCAAATAAGGTCATAAATCACATTTTTACCCATAAATCATATATTATTCATATTTAAGCATTCTTTTTCACTACGTATATTCATTAGACCATTTGGAATAATAAAACAACCAAAAATTGGGAAGAGCAAGCTTATTCCTTATGTTATCTTTTATTTTGATAATTTCTGATGTATTTCATTGTTTTTTTAACTTATGTATTTTATTGTCTTTGTTGTTTTATTTCATTTCTATTATACAATTCAACTATTTTGACTCTCTAAACTACCACCTAAACTTTAAACAAGGCCCAATAACCAATGTTTGATCTATTTTTAGGAAAAATGACATCTCCATATGTTTTGTACACAAATCACGAAAATGAGCGATTTTCAGGCTGACATTCAAAGACAAAATATGCAAATAAGTGAAATTAAAAAAAAATATATATATATCATAGAATTAAAAAAACAATGAAATACATCAGAAATTATCAAATTATTGTAGGTCCAATTTTTTTTTTTTTTTAAAGATGCGCAAGACTCGAAAGAAAAAGTCAGCGAGCGGCGGGGCGCCATTCATATGCGTTCCTGAACAATCAGAAAAATCGTGGAGGGGCAATAATGTCCCCCCCCCCCCCTCCCGGCCTTATTAGGGTTAAACTACCGATAAAAGGAAATGTGAAATGTTTAACTGCATTCAGCACTGTATTCATGATTTCTACTTGGCTAGCTTAAAACCAAGGTGAAATTTTTAATCTAGATAATTTTTGAAATACTCTCTGTGAAGGGTGTATAGTGCTTATAAATTACAAAGAACCTGTTGGTTGTAAATGTGAAGGCCACTCCAGGTGATTGATAATGTCTGTTATTGGGTGAATACCCGAAATGTGTCAGATTCCCCATGAGAACCTGTGCTTACATGTCTTCAATAGGTACTTTGAGCAAGCCATCCGCACCTACAAAAACGGCCAGGAGGCCCTTCGCGGGATTGGCCTGGACGAAACCTCCATCATGGGCACCATGCTGAAGAACTTGGCCATGACGTACTGCGAGATGGAGGACTACAAGACAGCCCTGTATTACGCGGACCGGGCCACCGGTATAAGGGTCAAGACCCTAGGAGACGATCATCCTGATGTCGCCAGGGCACACTACTTTGTGGGCTCCCTCTACATGTCGCTTGGCGACAAAGAGAGAAAGGCTGGCAATAATATTTGTGAGTTCTGTAGATGATTGTAACAACAGAAGGATCAATAAACTTTGAGGGGGACAAGAGCTGATAGAAAAGACAGGAATTTTTGTTATTATTTTTTCCCCTTTTCCCATTTGGTTCGACACATTCTGAGCTCAATAGAATTGTCTCGTTAAAAATAGATTTCCCCCTTTTGAAATATTTCTGATTTTACGTGGCATAGAAGGGCATTTAAAGATGAACTCTTTCATACTACATTGCTACTCTGTTATCAATTCACTTGTAGGAATAAAGAGTATGAGAAGCTCACAATTTTTCTTCATGTTTATGGTATTTTCTCATTGTAGAGGTGTCATGGTCGAGTGGATATGTCAGCGGAATGTGGATCACAAGGTCCGCGGTTCAAGTCCCACCGCGGCACTAATGTCCTTTGGCAAAACATTGATCTACATTTGCCACTCTCCACCCAGGTGTTAAATGGGTACCCGGTAGGATGCGAAAGCTAATGTGGTTTGATTAGCAATGGCGCTTGTTAAATGGCGACTGGCTGGAATTTTCCCCAGGGAGTGGAGAATGTGCATACCTTGTGTGCGGGTAAACATGAATCCGATGACCGGGGTAATAATATATATATGTAAAGCACATTGAGAGGGCCTGCGGTCCTGAAATGTGCTATATAAGGACGAACTATTATTATTATTATTATTATCAAGTTTACTCTTTTTTTCAGACAAAGTTTGAATTTGAAAACAGTTATTTGGTAATACAATTTTCTGTTTTTCAGTTGATATTGAGGAGTACAAGAAAGCAAGGGAGTGTTTTGACAGAGCCCTCATCGTCGAGTTCAACGTTGGGTATGAACAACGCAGTGAGGATTATAGTGACCTCAAGGAGGACATCGAGAGGCTATTCAACATCCTCGATAAGAAGAGGGAATGGCAACAATACAGCCTCCAGTTCAAGGTGATATATTTTTACCCCCAGTTTTCAGAAATTTCTGCTTTGACAAGCTTGAAAGTGCTGTATAAATCCTGACGGAATTGATTTATTTACACAAGTAATCATCACCATCATTATGATAATGATTATGATAATGATGGTGATAATGAAAATGATAATAATAAAAGGAATTAGAAGAAGAAAGCAAAATTGTATTGGTTTATCCTACTACTATTATTACTACTACCACTACAGTCAACCTGTCTATAGCGACCGCCCAATGGAAACACACAACAATTGGTGGTTGTAGACAGGTGGTCTTTGTAGACAGGTTGGCGTTGGCGGCCATTTTAATGGTTATTATGGCCATCTACAAGTAGATGCATATGCAGACAATATTGATCTTGTTAAGCCGATCGATAAATCTAACAAAGCAAGTATTTTTTTCGATGTTTCAAAATTACCCGTGTAAAATTAAATAAACAAAGAGTCTCACAGATTTTAGTCAAAATACAAAAATGATTTAACATTTTTTGATTTCTCTGAAATTTACTGGCAATCTTTTTTTTTAAAGCATATCAAAAATTATTTAAAAGAGATAAAAATGGAACAAGCCTGAATAATTGATTGACAGACAGCACGCCGCCCACTAAGCCGATCGATAAATCTAACAAAGCAAGTATTTTTTTCGATGTTTCAAAATTACCCGTGTAAAATTAAATAAACAAAGAGTCTCACAGATTTTAGTCAAAATACAAAAATGATTTAACATTTTTTGATTTCTCTGAAATTTACTGGCAATCTTTTTTTTTAAAGCATATCAAAAATTATTTAAAAGAGATAAAAATGGAACAAGCCTGAATAATTGATTGACAGACAGCACGCCGCCCACTCGCCAGGCCTCTCAAAGGAGATAGCAGCGAAGTTAGTCCCTCTTCTCATCGATTTTGGAGCGAAGGTCTCCATTCTGAGTGAAAGGTTTTACAAGGATAACTTATTGCAGTATCCATTTCTGACATCAGATGTCAAACTCCAAGCATATGGTCCTTCGCAAATCAAGGTGCTGGGAACCATCACAATTCCAGTGAAGGACAAAGAGAACTGCATTGACAAATTCCTGTTCTATGTGACAAAAGAACCAAATTTGATGGGAGTGAACTTGTTCGATTGACTTGGGTTCACTTCAAAGACAAAGACCCTCAAGGTACATAAATCCAAGTGGTAGACAACAAGGACTACATGGCTCGAAATTCGTCAGCCTTCACAGGATTTGGAAAATTCAAAGGGTTTTGCCACTCACCACGCATTCCCTTCTCGGTACCCGAGGAAGTTTCACATGAACTTGAACGCCTCAAGTCTGAATTAGGAATCATTGAGCGCATCGATTCTTCACCGTGGATATCCAACCTAGTCATTGCTCGCCGGAAGACTGGCGAATTGAGGTTGTGTGTATACCTCAAGGCAGTCAACAAAGCAGTAATCCCAGATAAGTACCCACTCCCAACTCTCAACTAGTTGTTTGCAGGTCCCGCTTGCAAAACGTAGCCGCCACTTGACCGCATTTGTTACGCATGAGGGCGTCTTTCAATATCGACTCTTCTGTGTTCAGCATCACAGGGGGGGGGGGGGGGGTCCTGAATCTTCTTGATGACGTCGTTATCTATGGTGCAGACAGTAGCGAGCACGACCAACGGCTCAAAGAAGTGATGTCGCAACTAGCGAAACAAAATCTGACACTTAACAAAAAAAGTGCACCTTCACAGCTTTGGATATTGATTTTCTCAGGTACCAATTATAGTGTCAGCAGTAGGGGTGACACCGAATCATGACAATGTGGAAGTGATGTGCAAGCTTCAACTGCCAACAAATGCGAAAGAGTTGAGCTCATTCCTTGGCAGCACAAATTGTTATCGCAAATTCTTCCCCTGCTACGCCGAAATGGCTGAACCACTACAGAAGCTACTACTCAAAGACGCGCCCTGTATGGGTGTTGAAGCAAAGCCAGCAACAAGCCTTCCAGACCTTGAAGGAAATGATCACAACACTGCCAGTTTTCACTGACAATGCTGTTAGCTACAGATCGATGTCTTGCCATAGGACATAAGTGCCTCCGTGGGACTTGAACCGCGGACGTTGTGATCAACCTTGTGACGGTTCCACTCAACCAGAACAACTCTACAAAGACTACAAGTTCTTTTAAAGAGTACTTATAGGATATTTGGGGAAAAAAGTAATATGTAATCACCCTTCTGATGGAGCCTGTAGCGTTAGACAATGATTGAATTTAAAAATAAAACTATATTGAATTGTCTTTGTTAAAGGACAAGTCCACTCGAAAAATAACTGACTTTCAATAAAAGCAGTAAAAATCAGATAAACCAATCAAAAAAAATTTGAGCAAACTCGGATAACTAATAAGAAAGTTATGAATTTTTGAAAAAGTATGTAAAACTATGGAACAATGAAAATCACAACACAAATTGCGAAGATGGTTATCAGTTTGTGACGTCATGTCCTCACTACTTATCAATTGCTCTATATGGTTTAATCCCATTAATTTCCCTTTTTATTCCCCAAAACTTGATTTTCCCATGCCTTTGCCCAGGTTATATTATTTGTATCATATTGCGTGCATGACATTTCACAAAATCTTTTATGAACTTTGAAGAATTTATACTATCTTCTGAATATTGTACATTCATAACTATTGATTTTTATATAAATAGTTTATCAAAATTCACATTTTTCATGATTTAACTGGAAAAAATTACTCTATATTATTAGTGCATCCACACAAAAACATATTACTATTAATCTAACTTGGATGCTGGTGTGAAGAAATAAGATTCTTAAGGAAAAAATAGGAAATTTATATCATCAATATAAAGAAAATAATCAGAGGATAGTGATGACATGACGTCACAGACTCATGAGTGAGTTGCAAATTTGTCTAGTGATTTTCAAAGTTTTTAATGTCATTAAAAATTCATAACTTTCTTATTAGTTATCCGATTGTGCTCAGACTTTTTTTGATTGGCTAGTCTGATTTTTCTGCTTGTACTGAAAGTAAGTTATTTTTGGAGTGGACTTGGGCTTTAAGAATGTGAATATGAATACAGCTATGTTATGCATGCAGTTAGTGATAAATATGAGAATGCAATGGGAAATAAGTACTAGTAAATAAAACATAATTATTCATGTATAGATGAGCTGCTGTACTATATTAACAAACAATGCAGGTCCAGACTCTCATCCATGATTATGTCCGGTGTCCCACAACAGCCTCATTACATCATCTACTAGAAGCACTTTGTTCTAAACCAGACCTGACTGACATGACACTGACTATCAGGGATCTCAATGAGGAGTTCTACTCTACATTGAAAGCAAAAGCATCATCCATAAAGGTATGTGTGTCCTAAGGTTAATTTTGTGGAGATGGTCATTGAAAGAAAGAAAGAGCAGTAAAAAGTATATGGTGCACATGTTTATATTTTTATTCTTCTCCAAATCCCCTTTTTAAAGGCCATTCACTTGATATATCAGAATAGTCGTGAAACATGGAATGAAAGCAAAACGTGCATGTTCTGATTCTGTTGAAATTTCAGTGTGTATAGGATTAACACTAGTTTGATCAATAATCAATATCCTACCTTGTCCAGGTTTGATTGTTGGGGAATATATGTCATGTATCATTTTTTACAGCCAATTTGATAAAGGCGTGAACTTACCAAACTGTACCATATCCATCAACCTCCCGACTTAGGGTTCTTGTGCACATGAAACCAGATTTATGAGTACCTTCAATTCATTAATACTATATGCAAATTTCTAGGTATTATTTATTTTAGAGTTATTAGGATTGGGACTTATTAATGTTAGGAGGTTGAGAGCCTTTTGAAAAATATAAAATTTTAGGAAAAAAAATCTTAGTCATCCTTCGATGGAATCTTTAGTGTTAGACAATAATTGAATTTATGAAAAAAAAACTCTGTTCAGTTATCTTTGTTAAGAATATGAATATGCATACTGCTGTGTGATAAATATGAGAATGCAATTAGAAGGTTATACTAGGAAATAAGACGTATGCATGTTTAGATGAGCTGCTTAACTATATCAACAAACCCTGCAGGTCCAGACTCTCAAGCTTCATTACGTCAAGTGTTCCACACCAGCCTCATCACATCACCTAGCAGAAGCAGTGTGTTCCATGCCAAACCTGACTGACCTGACACTGACTATCAGGGATCTCAATGAGGAGTTCTACTCTACATTGAAAGCAAAAGCATCATCCATACAGGTATGTGTGTCCTAAGGTTAATTTCGTGGAGATGGTCATTGAAACAAAGAAAGAGCAGTAAAGATTATATGGTGCACATGTATATATTTTTATTCTTCTCCAAATTCCCTTTTTAAAGGCCATTCACTTGATATATCAGAATAGTCGTGAAACATGGAATGAAAGCAAAACGTGCATGTTCTGATTCAGTTGAAATTTCAGTGTGTATAGGATTAACACTAGTTTGATCAATAATCAATATCCTACCTTGTCCAGGTTTGATTGTTGGGGAATATATGTCATGTATCATTTTTTACAGCCAATTTGATAAAGGCGTGAACTTACCAAACCATTTCCATCAACCTCCCGACTTAGGGTTCTTGTGCACATGAAACCAGATTCATGATTACCTTCAATTCATTAATACTATATGCAAATTTCTAGGTATTATTTATTTTAGAGTTATTAGGATTGGGACTTATTAATGTTAGGAGGTTGAAAGCCTTTTGAAAATATAAAATTTTAGGAAAAAAAAATCTTAGTCATCCTTCGAAGGTTAGGAAACTTTAGTGTTAGCCAATAATTGAATTTATGAAAAAAACTCTGTTCAGTTATCTTTGTTACGAATATGAATATGCATACTGCTGTGTGATAAATATGAGAATGCGATTAGAAATTTATACTAGGAAATAAAACGTATGCATGTATAGATGAGCTGCTTAACTATATTAACAAACCCTGTAGGTCCAGACTCTCAAGCTTCATTATGTCCAGCGTCCCACACCAGCCTCATCACAGCACTTAGCAGAGGCACTTTGTTCCATGCCAAACCTGACTGACCTGACATTTGAAAGTGATCTCAATGAGGAGTTCTACTCTACGTTGAAGGCAAATGCATCGTCCATACAGGTATGTGTCCTAATGTAAATGTAATTGAGAGGGTCATTCAAAGAAAGAAAGAGCAGAAATGATTATATGGTGCACATGTATTCCGGTATAAATTATTGTTATGCCTCCGCTACAAGGTAGCCGGAGTCATTATGTTTTCTTGTCCGTCCGTCCGTCCCGTTCTTGTGATCGCATTATCTCAAGAACCAATTGATGGATTACCACCAAACATGGGTCATGTATCTATTTTGCAAAGCTAAAGCTAATGAATTGATTAGATTTTGGATTCATGGGGTAAAAGATCAAAGGTCATAGGGCTTATTATGAATGCAAAAAAAGCTTGTGATCACATTGTCTCAAGAACCGATTCATGGATTACTGCAAAACTTTGGTCATATATGTATCTTGCAGAGCCAATGAACTGAATAGATTTTGAGGTCATGAGGTCATGGGGCTCATTATGAATGCAAAAATAGCTCGTGAGCGCATTGTCAATACTGACAGATGGATTACTATCAAAATCTGGACATGTTTGTATCTTGCAGAGCCAATAAACTGATTAGATTTTAGGGTCATGAGGTCAAAGTTCAAAGGGTCATACATATATATAAAAAATATCTTGTAATCATGATATTCTGAGAACCTGTTAATGGATTGCAATCAAACTTGAATTTGAAAAATTGGTTCTGTTTTGTTTTGTAAAAATCGCTTTATGGCGGAGGCATCATTTTCGACTGCATGCATTCTAATATCCATGTAGTTTTCATTTTAAAAAAGACAAATTTAATGCAATTCACTTGATACAGTGGAGAGTCATGGAACTTGTAATGAAATCAAACTGTGCAGGTTCTAATACAGTTGAAATTCCAGTGTGTATAAGATTTACAGTATCTCGATCAATAATCAATATCCAACCGTTGCCAAGTTACACTAAAAAGGAAAATATGTCATGTATTTTTAACAGTCAGTTGTGATAAAGGCTCAAATTGACCTTAATTAGTGCTTGTAGATAAAAACACATGCATGTATAGATGAGCTGCTTAAAGGGATTTTTGAGTTCTTGTTTCAGACCACAAATGCCTTCAAAGTGCATTATCATTGCTCTTCTTCGTATTTATGACATTTCTAGTGCTCATTTAGGACCTTAAATAACTATAAAAGTAATTTTAGACCTGAAAATGTGTGAAATTTAGCCGATACGATCATACCAATTTAGCTCCACTTTCAAAAAATATAGCGAATAAGATTTACATCGTTTTGATCAATATCCGGCAACCGATGCCAAGTTTGATTGATAGGAAAAATATATAATATTTTTTTAAATCTACATATAATCATCCTTTTGAGTTACAAAATTATTTGCATTGAATTTGGATGGGTTGTGGGATTGGCATTACTTTACTCTCAGGCTTTTGACCTTAACAAATTATTAAAATGACGTTGATATATTATATATTCAAACAGTTTATTTTTCAATCTTTTTTAAAATCATATTTCAACTTTAGGAGCACTTGGCAGAGACTTGCTTTTCCTTTTTTTTTCCGGTTTTGATGAAAACATTCCTCAAGACTGTACGATTCTCCTCTCTTTCTATTTTTCTTGTTCTACTCTGTCTTTCTCTACCCCTCTTCTCCAATCTTTTGTATATTTACTGATCAACCTTTCTTTCTTATTTTTTCTTCCTTCTATTCCTCTTTCTAGTCCCGGCTTTCTCTCTCTCTCTCCTATTTTTGATGACACAGAAGGTTTTTAATGTTTTTTGATATTTGTAAAATATTTGAATTTTGATGTTATATTTGTAATATATTTAGATTTTGATTTAATATTTGATTTTCATTTTGTTTCATTATGCATGATTTATAGTCATACGTTTTAGTCATTCATATTTTGATCGTCTATTGTGTTGTATATCAAATCAAATCAAAAATATAGTCAATTTTAATAATGGCCTGATTTTACCTAAATTTACTTTAGCCACAAACCTCATGAATTAGGATTATTGTGCGCATGAAACCATTTTTTTTAAAACCTTCAATACATTAATAGCAGATGCAAATTCCTAGGTTTTATTGTTTAAAGAGTTGTTGGGATTAGGACTTATCAATGTAGACAGGTTGAAAGCCTTTCGAAGAATACATATACATGTAGGATTCTTAGTCATCCTTTTGATGAAAACTTTAGTGTTAGACAATATTTGAATTTAAAAATAAAACTATGTTGAATTGTCTTTGTTAAGAATGTGAAGATGCATACAGCTGTGTTATGCAAGCTGTTAGTGATAAATATGAGAATGCAATGAGAAATTAGTACTAGTAAATAAAACATAATTATTTATGTATAGATGAGCTGCTAAACCATATTAACAAACAATACAGGTCCAGACTCTCAAGCTTGAAGATGTCCAGTGTCCCACACAAGATTCATCCCGTCACCTAGCAGAAGCACTTTGTTCTATGCCAAACCTGACTGACCTTATACTGTCTAGAAGGAATCTTAATAAGGAGTTCTTCTATACATTGAAAGCAAAGGCATCATCCATAAAGGTATATGTGTCCTAATATAAATGTCATGGAGAGAAGTACTATGACTGAATTAGGTTGCATGCATGATCAAGATATTCTGCTGCCAAGAATTTTTTATATTTGGCTGTCCGCGCCATTTTTTATTTTTCTTGTATTACACAACGATTACGTAATTGCACTTAATAGTCAAGAAGCATATCATTTGGAAGCTAGCCTTTTAAATCTCTATTATTTGTTTCCAAAAATTGAAAATTTTGCCAAATTTGCGTTTGTGACCTTAATAGTTCTGCAGGGCACACAACTATATATACACATTTCTCTCTTTCTCTCTCTATATATATATAAATATATATATATTAATGACACATTAAGGCTCAATATATGTTTCATGAATCTACAAGTTATGCGCATTTGCATGAAAATACAACAACTTACTAGATTATACACATGTACACCCTCCATTACATTTTTAAATGCAATTTTCAACATATTTCTTCTAGTGCCTATCGCATTTTCATTATTCACAAGATGGCTCAAATTAGTCATTGAATTTTTCTAATGATATGTTTTGAAAGTTTTTCCAAGTGACTGTTTATCAAAACAGAGAGGAGTGGGGATCCACTATTTTTGGAGTCATATTGAATAAAATCACTTTGTTTTGGAGTAGCAATCCACTCTAAAACAGTTAATGGAATCCATTCTCAGAAGCAATGTTCAAATCACTACTTTTGAATGGACTTAACTATAGAAGTACTAGACTTAAGTATATATGAACTGTGAAGACCTATGGAACACCCTCCAAGCCAATATTGTGACAGCTCCGTCTGGCAGCAGCTAGGTCCAAGGCTATTTTCACTTGCACTTTGTGAATTATTGGCACATGCCGCACCCTACCATTATGGCACACACTCTCAAAGTTCTGCATGTATCTTCAAGGTTGAAGGAAGCATGCAGACTACACCCAAGAAAAGGAAGAACTATAATTTTGAGTGAACCAATTCCACTTTAATTTTGCAGTTGACCGAAATTAACACCAAAGCGAAGCAGTTGCTCCCTAAGGGTACATCAAGCATGTCTGTGAATGAACCTTCTGGAGCAACACCAGGCAGAACTGAAACCAGAGACGTACAAAAAACGACAGAAGGCAGAGGCGGAAGAGGTAGGAACTATTTCTGTGTACATCTTATTGGTTGATTTGTTAGTTATTCCAGACATTCATGCCCCCCAGCCTCCCACTATGAACACATCTTAAACTGTGCTTGTTATTGTCTTACCGCAGGAAACTTAATAGTATCTTTTCTCAAATTAATTTTAAATCTTTTGTACGCTTGAAATTTTACAGATCAAAATAAGATCAATGACCCTTTGAAGGTCTAATCTTGAATTTAACCACCATCGATACTCCAGACTGTACAGGCAAACAAGCTAGATGATAGATTTTATGCTCCAATGGGGAGTGGAAACTGCTTTGCACTTTTGGTCAGCTATACATGTGTTCTACGCTCCAGGCCCCAATTTAGTTCCCAATTTTTAACAAATCTACACAATCTTACAAAATACGCAATAAATAATTGACGGAAAGTCTGCGGGTATAACGTAATTCTCAAAAAGTTGTAAAAACGACTTTGAATTTAAGAAGAAAAAAAATAGTTCTCAAAGTGTGTGGCTATATAATAAAGAGCAGTGAGGTTGGTGCAGGGAAGCAACATTGCACTGGCCAAACAGTACATACTTGAATAATTATTGTACAACCAATCACCATATGCACAATTTACCTCGTGCTCACTTCCCTAAACACAGCTTGTAATCCAAAGATCGAGTTGTGACTGCATCATTTTACAAAATAAACTTGTTGAAACCAGATCTCATTATGAGTGTACAGTACACGCCAAAAATCTCTGCAACATGATTAAACGATATATTTTTTTTATTACACGTTCTACACGATTCACCTTAATTGTGAAATCGTGTAAACTTGTAGACTTACACGATTGGAGACTGTCACTCTGAATCGTGTAATCGTGTAAATAGTTAAGTGCATTGGTGGGATGATTCGACCAGCTGCAACACATGTGCAATTGTGTATATTTACATGATTGTTGTTTGCTTATTTTCTCTATGGGGCTGGGGAATTGAGAACAATGGCAAGCTTTCATTAAAAATTCAGTCAAAACATTTCATTACCGACATGATATGGTTTCTTGCACATTTCATTATGAACTGTGCCTATTGAAAACATAACAATACAGTTTCATTGTCATGAACTTAGCGATGGATGCCTCGCTTGTTCGCGCACAGGCTGATTACACGATTTGTATATCCATCGATCTGAATTGAGAAATTGTTGAATTTTACACTATACACGTTTACACCATTCAAATTTTGCTTAATTGGCAAAAGACGAATCGTGTAAAAAAAAATTGTGGCATGGTTCCAACAAGCAATCAAATCGTAAAGATTTTCGGCGTGTACTGTTTTTTAACTCAACACAAGCTGCTGCTAGGGATTTGACACCTTCTTTTATGTATTCATGATACTCTCTACATCTGATTGAATGCAAATAGAAAAACTGTTGGAATCACATAGATTTTACCTTGAACTTAGTTGAAGTGATTATATTGAAATCATTCGTATTTTTCGTATAGTCACCGGTGGGTGATATTTTCAAACACTCGGCAAATGAATGATTCTTTTGCTCTGGTTCGTAATGTTATGAACAAAATAACACTGAGTTCCTATAGGAAATCTATTTATTCAGATGGTCATATCTCAGCCAATACTAAACACATTCAATTGGTTTCGACATTTGGACATTTTTTGGTATGCTCTTTCGAAAAATGAAGAAACAACTGAGAAATTGAGGAGGACTAATTAGTCTGGTGCCCGGTGAGTGCATTTGATTGGTACATGGTCAGGGCCAAGGGTCTTTCGTGAGGGCATCCAGCCCATCCTCGTTACCCGGGAACCTTTCTCCCCTGTGTCCAAGGTTCCATTTCCATATGGATTGTCGAAACCTTCCAGGCTGCAGGCCCTGCGGCCCCTCTGGAGGGCGAGGCCTGAGCCCACGATACTACTAGCATTGGTTCTTCCTGGGCTCTCTTTTGAGGAAAAATTCCTTTGTATGTCCAGGCCTTGAACCACAATGCATGAACGTACAGAGGAATTTTTCTTGTTGGGGACCGGGGGAAAATGCAATGAATTATTGATAATTTATTGCATTTTCTTTTTTTTTTTAGTTTGCGGGGGCTGCCCCCTACCCTAGCTCCCGCTGCAAACAGTCATGATTCAGTGGCAAAGCAATGGCCTCGTAACTGCAAGGCCCCAGGATCTAAACCGTGTTGATGTGCTATATTAGTGCCTTTTGTGAGGAATTAATCCTCATAACTGTAAGTTATAACGTAAGGACGTAGGTCCCCTAGTTGATATGCATAGTAGCACACACATGCTTTAGCAATCACGCAAAAAAAAACACTCACAAATTATTATTCAATAAAATCTGAGAATGTTTGCTATTATCTGGATCTAAATCATTGTCAAAATCATTCCATAAATTGGGGTAAAAAAATAATTCCACCTTTATGACCGACAGTGTATATTTTTAGTAATTGATTCATGTTATGTGTTGTTATGCCCTCCATGATTAATTTACTCTTCTAAGTATGTATTATTTTGTCAAAGGACCATATAATTTCTTTTTTAATTTACTTTTTATAGTCATCATGTCTTATCTGCTCCATAAAATTTTCCATTTATTAGTATGGGTAACTCCAGCGTGACAGAATGGACATCCAATCCTCACATTTTGATGCATTTGCTCTTTAGAAGATGCTTATATTGATGCATATAGTTTATCATGTGGTAAGTTTTCTCTTAAATACAGAGGCAAGTATTATTTATTTTGAAATCATATGATACAATTATTTGTGTCAGGGCTCCCTGCCTGACGTCTCTTGTGATACTATTTTTATTTCACTCTCCTAAAATTATTTCTTGGTGCTTTCATGAACCCTGAAACATTCAGCATATTTCATCTTGATGGGGCGAGGAGGGGGGGGGGCAAAAAAATAAGCGTGATAGGCACGACAAGCAAAGTGCGTGCAAGCATTGAGATTATGACAGAATATTATTATTATTACTCATGCCTGGGATCTCAATTCCCTGTATAACTGATCTGGATGTGCAGATGTCAACCCATACCTGGGTTTCCTCTACCCTATTTAAATAGAGAAATAAAATGGAACCCACATAGTGTCTTTAAAACAAAAAGCAGTAAATATCAGCAATATATTTCTTTCAATTAATAATAGAAGGGTATTCTGGGTATTTATACTTTAATAATACATCTATGATATGTCTCTAAGCGCATTACAAAAATATTAATACCCATGTCATCAAATCTAGACTTTAAGACCAGCCCAAGTATGATATTCCTAACATAAACCATAATGAACTGGGCCTTTAATGAATTTACGAATTTACAATCTTCTATCTTTTCATCTTTTTATCTTTTCTCTTTCTTTGAAATAAAGATATGAGGAAAACAACAACAGCAACAACAACAGCAGCAGCAACGACAGCAGCAACAACATTCCCTTCCATGTATGCCAGTCCGCAAGCAGCATCAGCAACATTCCCTCCCATACGTGCCAGTTTACAATCAGCAGGAGCAATGTTCCCTCCCATGCATGCTGGTTCACAAGCACCAGCAGCAGCAAATGTCAGGTCTGGATGGGATTGCTCTTTGAATTCCATCTTCTTTGCAGTATTACACTAACAGAAAGTTTGAACCAAATATTCAGCAAGAATAGTCCATCTTTTGACTTTGATCATTCCAAAACCTCACAATATACATTGATTTGTATGTATTACATAATCAGCCTTTTCAATTGCTTCTTAATTTTGTTCCCAATGTAATCTCAAGATCAGTGCTACTATCTCTACAATGATTCACACAATTTGTTATGAATAAGGGGAATTTCGTTTTTTCTCTCTTTGAGAAATTTGGAAAAAATGTAAAGTTTCATAATGTAATCACTGTTGAGAAGGTGAGTGCTTTATGTACCGGTCTGGGTTTCGCTATATGTACTCCGAGGCAATGGAGCAGGATCGCTGTGAGGCGTGTGTCGGGTAAAACGTCGCTGTCCAAACAGCTCTCAACAAGGTAGTTAGAAAAATGTTCCCATGGCACCAGAGGGTCTCCTGGTGCCCCCCTAAAATGGTGGAGAAGCGGTTAGAGTGATACTCAACATTTACGTCACCAATGTAATGTTGCTAACACAAGAATCAAAATGATAACGACCGACTTGGAGTTTAACGGTGATGTGTATGTTTTATTCACAGCCAAGAATCAAGATGGCTGCACCTCGACACAACAGACGGTAAGTGTAAATTCACTACAAAAGTGTCAGATGTAGGGAGTCTGAGAGGGAATATACAAATTTTAGTTTGAAAGTGACACGAGAAACAAATATATACCTCTTAATTCTCCCTCAAAAAATCAGCCGACTTGCATGCTAGCAATTTGCCAACCTGCAGAAAAAATAATGCATGCTTAAGGCCACCTGGAATTATGTAATTTTGTTTTAACATATATAGCAGGAATATATGCCAGCACAAAGTCACGCACTCACATGGGTGTGTATGATCAAAGGATGAAGATGATGATGATAGTAATTAGGGTAGTGGTGGTAGATGATGGTGATGGCAATGGTGGTGATGATAATGATGTTGGTGGTGGTGGTGATGATGATGATGGTGATCAAGTGTAGTATTGATGATGACGGTGGTCGGATCATCTTGCGAACCTGCTATAGTCGTGAAGATTATGCAATCTTTTACATTTGCGAAAAGGAAAAAAATTGTACATCCTATCAACCTCTATATTTTAGATGGCAACCAAGTCCACTGGGATTTTCTGACCGACTGTCCTCAAGAACTTACCCTCCAAGATAATGAAGCAGTAATATCATGCGGCATCAGATTCTCGCCTTCTAGAGCCAAGCTGAGCAAACCTATCAAGGTCACATTGGACCATAATGCCCACTTCTTCAATCCAAGACGTGCAGAAATCGTCTTCTACACGCGTAAAAAAGGTCAGGAGGATTTGAAAATAATAAAGTAAATGTTTACTGTATATTGTGCTGAATGCCTTTGTTTCTAAGCACAGTACTATATTATCCTGGCATTAAATGAGTGCACTCATAAGGTGCTATATGGCATTTGAGGAATTTCTTCCTACCGGGTATCCATTTACACCACCTGGGTAGAGTGGTATATGCAGATTAATGTCTTGCCCAAGGACGTTGGTGCGACGGCAGGGCTCGAACCACAAACAATATATGATCCATTCACCGTCCTATGCGTATCTACTAGATCAACACTTTTAGCAGTGACCCGACATGTTCTCTGTGACAATTGCTCTGGGCTTTATTTCTTTAAAGGTATAGGGTTAGGGTTGCAAGTGGGTTACAGGTTACCCGTAGTTCTAGAGCTAGGGTTAGGTATAGTGTCAGGTCCAGGGTTGAAATTAAGGATTCGGTTAGTGTGGGAAATTGATGCAGAGTGATTGTTGATGTATCGTATAACCTTTGCCACAGCTTAACTTTCTTTTTCATCTAACAAACACCATATTTTACATAGAAATATAACAATGAATATAAGTAAAAGTCTTGTGAAACCTCAACATAGGTAAATACATGTCACTTTCAGCTTCCTAGTTCGATTCGATTTAAGAGAGATATCTATATGCTTGTTAGATGATATATATTTATACTGCCAGATTCAATAATAATTTTGCATTTGTCAAATGAAAAGAAAAATCTAATAATGTGCAAGTAAAACAAATATTTCTGTTATAAATCTTGTTTTTATAGACTCAAAATCTTTTGAAAGAATTCCTGCATCCACCAGCAGTTACCCACGTTGTGATGTCAGAGGAAAAGACTTGGATCTCTATGTAGATCATTTCTCCGATTGGTGGATTGTGGCTCTGCTCACATGGTGCTTTGGTGGAAAGAGGGTCAACTGCACGCCATATGTAAAACCACCTGTTAGGAAAGAGTTCTCCCACTGTGTGTTTCTTTGCATCTATGACGATCTCTCGGATGTTATTCATGTGAGACAGAGATTAGGGCATTGGGGCGTCGGTAGATAAATTTTCACTATTTTTTCCTGGGCAGAACTGCGCATGCTCTCTTTGAGATTTTCAGGTAGACAAGCATTGTGACATCACACGTTCAATCAAAAGTAATGCGCAATTAGCGCGTCTCACTACATGCGTGTTAATATAACTGTGCGCAGGTTGACATGAGAATAAATTGTCATTGTCATTGTCATTGATAGTGCGTTAAAGATCATATGCCAGCTAATCATTAAAGTCAAACGATTACCTAAAACTGACCTTTAAAGGGATTTTTCAACATTGGTGTCAAATAAATTAAAACCATAAATTCAAGACAATAAAACTAATTAAACTAATGCCTAATGATGAAACCTTTTCTTTTTTGGGAGGCCTTAAAGTTTTTTCACTCCAAATGTCTGTCTAATGAAGCGCTTTAAGTAAAATATATATACGTCCGGTTAATGTACCAAGTTGGTATATATTCTAATTTGGAGTGAAAATAATACATGTATATATACATATGGTACATAGAGAGAGAGATCTTCTTGACCATATATAATTTGTTTTTCCTCTAACAGAAAATAGATAAAGAAATGAAAAAGTACACAGAGCTCCATCCGACCCAGCAAATGTTCATAGAAAGGAAGCATGGAGATATCAATATCAAGTTGTTTGAGGGCCTAAAGGAAAACGAAAAGGAAATTGGCGAGCAGGTATGTTCTGTATTTGAAAGCTAGAGGTATGGATGAATAAATGAATTGCAAGGATCTCATTTTATATCTTGCCATTTCTACCCCCCCCCCCCCCACAAAAATGAACATTGCGTGATTGAGATGGAGAAGATGCAACTGTTCATCAAAATTTAACTTTTTAAATATAATACATTGAATGCCTTCGCCGATAGGATTCACCATTTAATTAACAAATAAATTCAGAAAAGATCACCAAATGGCATTGTTGATGATTAAATATAGCCTTTATAAGAGCAGAAACAACTTGGTTTGATCATTATTGTACAGGTACATGGTCATACAGTCCAATATGTGCATTCTTATGTACGTTCTAATGTAATGAGATATCGGATAATCAAGGAAAGTCAGTTGGTCCTTACGGTCTCGTTATACCGAATTTCCCCTGTAAATGGTTTTTAAAAACAGGATATTTAGAGAACGTAATGAAGTTAGTAGAAACAGTCTGGGCACAGTTACACTGGGTCAAAACTCAACTCTCATATATCTTTTGTTATGTCCAGCAGGCGCGTACGCAGGGGGGGGGGTTTGGGGGGTTAAACCCCCCCCTTTGGAAATTTTTTGTGTGTAAACCCCCCTAAAAAAAACCTGAAACCCCCCCCTTTTGGATTTTTTTTTTTTTTTTTTTTTTTTTTTTTTTTTTAATTATTAAAAAAAAAAAAAAAAAAAAATTATTCCATGGCCGACCTAAAAAAGGTGACCTTACCCCCCCCCCCCCCAACGGAGCAAAATGTCAAATTTCCAAATTTCGAGACCAAAAAAAAAAAAAAAGTGTCCTCTTACCCCCCCCCCCCCCCCCCCCCCCCCCCCCCCCCCCCGCTTATTCAGCGGTCGGCTGAGTCGTTGCGATTTTTTTGGGACCAAAAAAAAAAAAAATGTGTCCTCTTACCCCCCCCCCCCCCCCCCCCCCCCCCCCCCCCCCCCCCCCCCCCCCCCCCCCCCCCCGCTTATTCAGCGGCTGGCTGAGTCGTTGCGAAATTTTCGGACCGATTTATAAATGTTAAAACCCCCCCCTTGAAAAAATCCTGCGTACGCGCCTGATGTCCAGTGTATTTCGAGTATCTACTCATTTCTGCTTAATTTTATTCTTTTGCTATAAAAAAATATTTAGTAAATTCTTATCCGTGATTTCAATTTTATTTTCATAAAAATGTGTAATTGACATTGACTTTGCCTACTTTAAATCACAGAACTAAGAAAAGTGATTCAAGAGGGACCAACAGACAGGGCATTTCAATGCCTTTCACCCTTTTGTCCCTCTCTATCTTTCTCTAGCCTTCTTATTTTTAATTCCTGCTTGTCCATGCATGATTATGCGATTTATATACCATTTGAAAATGGGTGTTTTATTTAAGTGCATGGTGTAGTATTGACTGCTATGAGAGGCAGAGTTGTTTCTATAGGCTCAAGGGGAGTTACATCCTGCTATGAATCCTTGGTGCACCGCGCCGAGGGGTACGTCATAGGAGCATGTAACGTCCGCAAGAGCCTATCGAAACAAGTATCACACTGCGATTATCATATCCGCGCTCGAGCTCGCACAAAGCAATATTTTACATGTAAACCAATGGGCATCGCAGCAAATTTTTGCCGCCAAGTTAAAAACACCCTGACGACTTCACTTTCAACCAATCAGGTGACGGGATTAGGAAAGATTCTTACAGTAAAGTACCGGTATATCATTTTGCAGTCTGGCTAACTTGGACCCGGGGACAACTCAGCCCACTGCAAAAACGGCCAATGGGTCTGCGTTTGCTCATTACTCATTCGTAATACCCTTTCTGACCATAGGGTTAGCGTAAGGGTTCATAGTTTTAGGGTTAGGGTAAGGGTTAAGGTTAGTCACAAGGGAGGAGGCCTTTTCCTTCCATTCCCCCGCCAGGAACGTCGGGCTTGACTTAGCTCTGGCTGCTGCATTTGGGCAGTACTGAGAGGCCGCGCAGATTACGAGCCGTGAATTCAAGGTCTGAAATGTCACTTTTATCTCCATACCGGTAATCATTTTTTCATACATTAATTCCATTAACATTTTTGGTCAGAAAGGGTTATATAAACAAGCAATGAGCACAGACATATACACATTGGTATATCTCGATCCATGAATCATGTCGGGACAATCCAGCCCCGTTTTTGCAGTAGGCCCGAGTTGTCCCTGGGTCCGAGTTAGCCTGGATCCAAATTTTTAACTACATGCTATACCATACATTAAAGTTGCTTTTTTAATGGCAATAAATTTTAAAATGAATAATATCCTTGAATTCTTTCTTCTTTTAAAATAGATACTAGGTGAAAGGGATATGATCTACCGCATTAACTGGAAACAATTCTCCTTTGAAGTGAAGCCACTCGAGCTGGAGGAGTGCCAAAAGCTTCTCAAATTCACCTTGAATCAAAAAGAGTCTCTCTCTGACCCTACTTCGATGAAATTTTACTTGCGATATGATGGTATGTACATGTATATACTCTGTGTAATTCTTTGTGTATCATAACTATTATCATTATCATCATTATTGTTATTATTATCGTTGTTGTTGTTATCATTATCATCATCATTATTAATATTATTATCACTCATGCCTGAGATCTTGATTTTCTGTATAACTGATTTGGATGTGTAAGTGTCAACCCGTACCTATAGGTTTCCCCTACCCTATTTAATACGGAGAAATATAATATGTAACCCGCAGAGTATCACAAAAACAATACGCAATAAATATCAACAGATATATCTCTTTTCCTATATTTTGTACTACAATAGATAATTGTAAGAAGAATATTCTGGGTATAATACTGCTTAATACATCTACGATGTCTCTAAGTGCATTACAGAAATATTATTACCCATGTCACCAAACTGGACTTTAAGACCAGCCTTAATCTGATTATATATTGTGCTTTCCTGACATAAACCATAATGGACTTGGCTTTTTTATCAATTTACAGTCTTCTATCTTTTTACCTTTTGTCTTTCTTTAAAATAAAGATATGGGAACAATAAGAACAACAACAGCAGCAACATTCCCTCCCATGCATGCTGGTGCACAAGCAGCAGAGGTGTCAACACTATCACAGTATGTAACCAATCTTTAATAGATGTATATTTTAATGAGACTGCTGTGCTCTGGTAAAATTGGAGGAAAAAAACTTTGTTAGCTTTCTCGGGAAAAATATCCTAGCAGAAGTCAGGTCTGGATGGGATTGCTCTTTGAATTCCATCTTTTTTAGAGTATTACACTAACAGAATGTTTGAACCAAATATGTATGTGTAGTGCAAGTGTTATTCAGCAAAAAGTAGTCCATCTTTTGATTTTAATCATTCCGAAACCTTGCAGTGTTCGGAGCGCCCTTCACGATCACCACTGACCGCGGCCGTCAATTCGAATCTCGACTCTTTGCGGAGTTGACCAAACTTTTGGGAACAACCTGCATCCGCATACCACCCAGCTGCAAATGGGTTGGTGGAAAGGCTCCACCGACAGCTCAAGGGTTCTTTGAAAGTCCATGAAGATCCGAGACATTGGACCGAATATTTGCCTTTGACACTTCTTGGCATTCGTACCACCGTGAAAGAAGATTTATAGGAAAGTGAAAAGTATGCTGCAGACCTGCCGCAGATCTGCGGCAGACTTTTAGTCTGCGGCAAAGAGTATGCCGAAGTATGCGGCAGAAAAAAATTTTGCTGCATACTTGCCACATACCAGTATGCCACAAGAACAGTCTGCGGCAGATCTGCGGCAGGGCGAAAGTTTGCTCCAGACTTGCCGCATACTAGTATGCCACAGGAACAGTCTGCGGCAGATCTGCGGCAGGATGAAACTTTGCTCCAGACTTGCTGCATACTAGTATGCCACAAGAACAGTCTGCAGCAGATCTGCGGCAGGGCGAAAGTTTGCTCCAGACTTGCCGCAGTATGCCACAGGAACAGTCTGCGGCAGATCTGCGGCAGGATGAAACTTTTCTCCAGACTTGCTGCACACTAATATGCCACAAGAACAGTCTGCGGCAGATCTGCGGCAGGGCGAAAGTTTGCTCCAGACTTGCCGCAGTATGCCACAGGAACAGTCTGCGGCAGGCAGGGCTCAATTAATTTTTTTGTCCACGGGGGCTCTTCCTCCGAAAAAAAAGCCCCGTGAGCCTTCTCACGGGGCTCTTTTATTACTGACGGGGGCTCTTTTTTTATACAAATATCCACTGAATTGGTACCTATGATACTCCTCAATTATTTGCTATTTCATCATTATCATTTCAATCAGCATTTTCCCTCTTACAAATTTACAAGCTACATAGCTGTTACTGGCCTGTGTATATAATATATACGCATACAACACTGATCTTTATAATGTCTTTAACGTGACATATCTTCTTCTCCTCTTGCAAACGAAAAAGAAAACATGGTCATTAAAAGGGATTAAGCGACAAATAATGATTGTGATTCAAATTGATGCAAATATTTGTTTGAATAAGCACTGCTATTCACCCGAATCTTCTTTGTAAAAACAACTTTTACAAATCTCAACCATGCTTACTGAGTTGAGACGTTCCATTCAATTTAAAATACCCATTACATAATACACTTCTCCTAATCTCAAAGTCGTTTTTGCAAAGAAGATTCTGGTGAAAAGCATTGCTTATTCAAAAAAAATCCTTGCATCAATTTGAATCACAATGATTATTTGTCTCATGGTCCTTTTATTAAATAACCTTGTTTTCTGTTTTGTTTGCAGAGGGAGAAGAAGCTATGTCACGTTAAGAAATCATAAAGATCGGTTGTATTATGCGTATGTACATAATGATACCAGAACAAATGTTGATTATCAGAATTTCATTTTGGAATACCTCTATACAAATACCACATTTTCTTTAGCCCGTATCAATATTAGTATGATCCAATATAAAGCTATTATTTTTTATTTTATTCAGTATAATGCTTTTCCTCAAAAATAGTTTTGCTATTTTTTTAGGGTTGAGACGCTAATAAATGGTTTCAAATGTACATTACATGAATCCTGAACCATTGCAAAATGATGGTGGTTCTCTCTCTCTCTCTTTATTTTAATCATGCATTATCAACTACATATAAAGCAGCAACCAAAAACTTAGGGTTATCTGAGATAGGTGAAAGTAGGAGTTAAAAAGAAAGTCATGCTAAAACGGCGCTTCACTTCCCCCCGCCCCCTGAAAAAAATAAAATAGATTAGTAGTCCTCCTCTCCAGAATCCCCCTCCCCCCCCCCCCCCGCTTTAATATCACATTTTCACTTGGCAGCCCAAGGGGGCCAGGGGGTGGGAGGAGGGGTTAACCCCCCCCCCCCCCCCCCCCACCCCCCGCCGTAGATCTGCCCATGTTACCATATCATTCCACGACATTTTGGTCTTCCTCTTCTCCTCAAAAGGGACTTTTAGATTTGCGTGGACGTGGACGTGTTACGTCCTTTTAAGCACTGGCAGTGCCTTGAAAGAAGGTCTCACGTTGAAGTCCACGTTCTCATCGTGCAAATCTAAAAGTCCCTAATATTGATTTACTGGTCGAGGTTCATTATTTGCTGACAACGAAAAACTTCTCCAGGCCATGACCATGTTTCTGCCCTTGTCCGATCGCCTCCAGCTCCAGCAGAAATGGCGCGGCAGCGTGCACACGCACCGCTACTAACGGCGCAGTAGGCCTATAACCACTGCTGACGGCGGCACTGCATGCACTGCGAGCTGAATCGATAATAATAGGCCTACTCATAAAACGAGAAATCTTGCACGCTAATCTTAGTTCCATTTCATTGGTTTAAGGTTTGAAAATTGAAACTCAATATTATGATAAAGTTATAACAGAAAAGATTATCTTTATTTTATAATTCCACCGGGGCGATTTCTAATTTTGCAATCGCCCCCGTGAGCAACCTGACGGGGACGATTTTGTAGCTCACGGGGGCGAATCGCCCACCGCCCCCGTGTATTTTGAGCGCTGGCGGCAGGTCTGCCACAGAAAAGTGGGAAATTATACAGTTTGAAGCAAGGCTATAGGCGGCCATTTTGGAGGAACATGCAGGGCCATGAGGTTGCAGGCTGAGCCCATGATCTTGTAAATTCCTGTGTTAATTAGCACTGTTAATTGTCTTTTTATCTTCTATCAAACCAAACAATTTGCTTCAAGTTCAACTGGTACCATATAAGAGGAATTTATTACATAAGAGGAGACAGAGGAATTAACGGACTGTTTCAAACTTTTTTGTTGTGCCAAATGTGATCTTATCTTCAGCCATACTAACTCACTTTTTTGTTGTAACTAGCACATAGATCTGTGACTCTACTCTGGGCTATATGTATGCAGTTAATGTATTCTTATTCCTCTACCTCTACTTCTGTATTGTGTTAAACCCATATTTGTAGAATTGTTGAAGCAATTCCGCCTATTTTAGCTGTTTCTACTAATTCTAGGTACTAGAATATGTAATGATGCAATGCAGGCACATCTGCAGTAGGATGAAACTTTGCTCCAGAGTTGCTGCATACAAGTATGCCACAGGAACAGTCTGCGGCAGATCTGCGGCAGGGCAAAACTTTGCTCCAGACTTGCCGCATACCAGTTTGCCACAGGAACAGTCTGTGGCAGGTCTGCCATAGAAAAGTGGGAAATTATACAGTCTGAAGCAAGGCTATAGGTGGCCATTTTGGAGGACATGCAGGGCCATGAGGTTGCAGACTGAGCCCATGATCTTGTAAATTCCTGTGTTAATTAGCACTAATTGTCTTTTTATCATTCTGTCAAACCAACAGTTTGCTTCAAGTTCAACTGGTACCATAAGAGGAATTTATTACATAAGAGGAGACTGAGAAATTAACGGACTGTTTCAAACTTTTTTGTTGTGCCAGATGTTATCTTATCTTCAGCCCAACTCACTTTTTTGTTGTAACTAGCACATGGATCTGTGACTCTAATACTCTTGCATGGCTATGTGTATGCAGTTATTGTATTCCTATTCCTATACCTCTACTTCTGCATTGTGTTATACCCATATTTGTATAATTGTTGAAGCAATTCCAGCTATTTTAGCTGTTTCTACTAATTGGGTGCTAGAATGTAATGATGCAATGTTGTTGTTGTTGATGTTTTAGTTTTAAGGGCGTGTGTCATTCAATTATGAATATTTACGCCAAATTCAAGTTTTTTAATAATTTTAAATAATTTTAAATGGAAGCAAAAAAAAAGGAGGGAAAAAGAAATCGGCGCTGTTCAATTTTTCGCATTTTGCGGAAGATTCCAGACAGGCTGTCGACATAAAATCATTTAACCGTTTTGTGCATATTTTCTGGCCAGCCCGGTTCGGTACATTGAACAGGCTTCTCGGCTTGCATGTTCATGCGCAGCCTAGGCCCCTCCAATACCGGCCAAGGGCTATGCGATGTCTCTCGGTGGGATGTCTCCTTTCCGGGAAAAAACAAAAGCAAACAAAAAACGAGAAAGAAATTAAACAAAACCATTATAATTTAATTAGACTGAAAAACAGTTTTTGAAAATTTCAAATTATGCAGATATTTTGGGCTTCTTGTGCAAGGTGCAGTTAGTAATACCTTAATCTTAATAAAGTACAATACGTTACCTACGACCTATATATAGAGGCATATAGCTGAAAAATTATGATTAAATAGCCTACTATAATAGGCAAGACCAGTTTTAATCTACATGACATAATGTATGGACGGTATAATTTAATTTGTTGATTTTGGGCTCGCATGAGTGCAGGTCGCTCAACAAAATACAAAACACACCAGGTCCTTGAGTTGCTGGGTAACTTGCCTACTGGAAGGCCATAGGAAGCACCGACCACAGACAAGCCAGACTGGGTTTCACCCCAGTTGTTGACCACACGGGGGATGACCACCTCCGTTGGCCCCAGTACCCAATTTCCTTTGCGCATGTACCTGTGAAGTTAGCTGCATTGTAATTTCTCGCAGTTGTTTTATTTATTTATTTATTTACATTTTTATTTATCAATATGATTTTAATTAAGAAAGAAAAAAGAAAAAAAAAATCATTATGGCCCTGCAAATGAAACCAAGGCATATTCATGTATAATTTTTACCGAAACATATTTGATGGAATAGAATTTAAACAGCCTATAATAAATAGGCAAGACCAGTTTTAACTTCTACATGACACAAAATAATACGGTATAATTTCATTTCTGACACTGAGATGATTATTTTGGACTCGCATGAGTGCAGGTCGCTCAACAAAATACAAAACACACCAGGTCCTTGAGTTGCTGGGTAACTCGCCTACTGGAAGGCCATAGGAAGCACCAACCAAAGACAAGCCAGACTGGGTTTCACCCCAGTTGTTGACCACACGGGGGATGACCACATGCATGATGCATGATCTCTAGCATAGCCTTCCTGCAAGACTGCATACTTAATTGCCACGTACTGGATATGAAAGAGTATGCGGCAGGTCTGCAGCAGACCTGCCACAGACTCTTCATCATACTGAAAGATTATGCGGCAAGTCTGCGGCAGGTCTGCGCGCCCCTTACCAAACGTGAATGTATTCCTGTTGTATTCGAAGACATGTATCTGAATACAACCAACCACTTATTCTGTATGAAAATTAGTGGTTTGAATACACATGATTGTATTCAAACCACTTGTAATAGTATTCCTTTGTATTCCTATAAGCCGAAATATGTAAATGAGGAATACAAACAAGTATTCAAACCACTAGTATGCAAATTAAAAGACGAATACTAGCTACAAATTAGTATTCGAACCACATATTTAGTATTCCTGTCAGCTCAAATTATTCGAACCACTTTGTTAGTATTCCTTTGTATTCCTATAGGCCGAAATATTTAAATGAGGAATACAAACAAGTATTCGTACTACTAGTATGCAAATTAGAAGATGAATACTAGCTACAAATTAGTATTCTGACCACTTGTCATCTGAAATATGCAATGCTGGAATTAGTATTCCGACCAACACCAAAATCCCACAATGCAGCAGAATTATACCCCAATAATAATCACCTCATACAACATACAAATTGCAGTGTAGACCCTACATAACATACCAATTAACAGTCATCAACTATAGTACGTGTGTATTTCTGCTGTATTTTTAAATTGACATACACGCCTACACTGTTTCACCCGAAGTACTAGGATGTTCATGCTAGATATTAACTCTTATTTCAGTGCGTGCTGTTTTATAGCAGTTTTAATAGTGCTTTCTGAAAACAAACTGGGGTCAAAATCTGCGATATTACTTGATAAGTATTAATTAGCCCATGTTCATACTACAAATGTATAATGTATCATGACTTATATAGCACACTTTATACAACTTCACAATGTAGGTTCAAATGCATAAAAATACATCAAGTCTATAGACAATTATACCCCCGTGTGTAATGTTGGTCCTATACATGTAGACAACTGGTCCTGGACCAGCTTTGAGGGAATAGACCTTCGATCCTGTACGTGACTCAACCAAAAGGAATGAAGTTACCACGGACCACTGTTTCAGTATTTGGTCTACCAGTATCATCATGCACATACTCAAAAGTTAGACATTTCTAGACTTAGATCCAGGGTCCACATGTAGAAATTGGACTTAAACCTATAGATCTATTATCTAGATCTACTACTTAGGCTACTTGTATAATTATGTTAAACACATCCTAACTGAGTCCAATTCGAAACATTATAGGCTAGGCCTATGTCTTAGGTAATTAACCTGTTAGGTCTAGAGTCTAGACCTAGTCCTTTTAGACTAGGACATAGAGTCTAATCTAGTTTTCACTCCACAATCAGATCAATCAAGTCCAGCAATTAGTCCTGGATCTACTTGCATGGTCCACTCATTTCTAATCGCAACGTGACGCGCTCTGAGCGGCTCAGTTCCAAAACCAAAACCAAACTGCAGTGCTATACTGTTCTGGTCCTGGTCAAGCCTCTAGGCTCTCGTCCTGGTGATCTAGGCTCTGGTCATGGCGAGCCTCTAGGCTCTGCATGGTTCTGCCTCTGCATCAGTTCTGGTCCTGAATGTAACTGTAGGGCTCGATCTGACAGTCAATACATTGTGTGCCCGTCGGTCATACTCCTAATGCCCCACATAATACAGTCCACAGGTGACACATGCAGATTTACTCAACTGGCTGTGATTGTCAGCAGTTCAAAAACGTTGCTTGAATCCAAGGTCATGCAAGATTTTTGCTGGCTCAATGTAATTTGCAGTTTAATAGTAATAAATATGGCAATCCTTTTGACCGCTGCCACCATGTTAAATGATCAGATCTACAGATCAATAAGATCATTGCTGGAGACACTGTTCATGTATAAGTGGCCATCTTGGAAGTGCTTTATTCTGGTATTCCTCCGCCAATCACAGCCTCATTACGCACATCAATGAACTATTGGTGTTGTTAATATAGTACCACAACAAACATCAGATTTTTAGTATTCAATTTGGAGGAATACTTATAATCAAAGACTCAATTGTACTAGTATTCAAACCAACCAGTTTTGAATACTAGTACATTCAGAATACTAATAATCGAAGACTAACATTCCTTATAATGGATTTTAGTATTCGAAGCACAACAATTTGAATACTTAAATTGATTTTAGTGGTTCTGACAATGAGATTTTTAGTATTCAAATTGGAGGAATACATGCAACCACTAAAATACCACTTATTTTGTATTCTGAATATTAAGCGAATATATTCAGAAGACTTATTTTGTATTCCTGTTTGGTAATGCGGCAAAACTAATTTGCATGTGAAAAAGAAGACTGTCTGTGGCAGGTCTGCGGCAGATCTGCGGCAAGTCTGCCGCAGGAGTATGCGGCAGGCTCATTTCTTGTCATGCTCGCCCTCCGAGCACTCATGTCTGTCAAACTTGACACTCATGGCGCTCCCACTTACACCTGTAAATATAAAGTGAAACCATCAGTTTGCATAGATTATTTGCATCAATCGTTCTTTCATTCCTCAGAGATAATCTGAAATCAGATAGAAAACTTGAAAAACTATCGAAACACATGCCTCCTGGGACTTACACAATGTTATGCACACATCTTGGCATCGGATACGACCAAGCTAACGCCATCCTAGCCAGGTTTAACATGGACTACCAGAGAGCTACAAGGGATTGCTTGGCACAGTGGAAGACATTGACTGGTGGTAATATGGACGAGCTGGAGACTATCCTACAGGATGCAGAGGTTGGAGATTTAGTGAAGTATATAAAGTAATCATGCGAAGCTTCCAACTGGTGCAATATGAACTCTTTGGTCTGTATTCTAGTCAATCTTAAACGTGACACTGTGTTTAGGCTTTCGTTCAAATCGCAGTTCAACAAAGGAACTGTGAAATGACGGGAATCAAGAATGTGGATACATTGGCCCGAATTCACAAAGCAAGAATTGAGCTCAGACCAAGGTTTGAGCTCAAACCTTCTTTTGTTTCGCCAAACCTCCTTTTGTTCTTTACAAACCAGGTTTGTAAAAAACGCGTAAAACGCGTCATATGACGTACGAAAACCAAGGTTTGTCGACAAACCTCCTTTGTGAATTCGGACCATTGTGTGCAGGCAAGCCTGAAATTGATGGCCAGAGTAAGGACATTTTTGTAAAGCAATTAGAGACATCATAGATCGTGGAAACCTCATATCCAAGGGGTTAATAATTGTATTAGGAAAAAAAATTGGTGTTTTATATAGATTAAAGCCCAAGTCCACTCCAAAAATAACTTACTTTCAATAGAACCAGAAAAATCAGACAAACCAATCAAAATAAGTTTGAGCAAAATCGGATAACTAATAAGAAAGTTATGAATTTTTAATGACATGAAAAACTTTGAAAATCACTACACAAATTGGCAACTCACTTATGAGTCCTCACTATCCACTAATTATTTTCTGTATAATTGATAACATAAATTTCCTATTTTCACCCTAAGAATCTTATTTCTTCACACCAGCATCCAAGTTAGATTGTTAGTAATATGCTTTTGTGTGGATGCACAAATAAAGAGTAAGTTTTGTCCAGTTTAATCACGAAAAATTGAATTTTAATAAACTATTTATATAAAAATCAATAATTATGAGATACAATATTCAGATAATAGTATCAATTCTTCAAAATTCATAAAAGTTTGGGGGGAACGTCATGCACGCAATATGATGCAAATCATATAACCTGGGCAAAGGCATGGGAAAATCAAGTTTCATGTGATATAAAGGGAAATTAATGGGATTAAACTATGTAAAGCAATTGATAAGTTGTGAGGACATGACGTCACAAACTGATAACCATCTTTGGCAATTTGTGTTGTGATTACAAAAATTCATAACTTTCTTATTAGTTATCCGATTTTTCTCAAACTTTTTTTGATTGGTTTGTCTGATTCTTCTGCTTTTATTAAAAGTAAGTTATTTTCGGAGTGGACTAGCTCTTTAAGACAGTTTGTGCCAAAGCGTGTTTGTTGTTACTGTATAAAACGTTAATTCAACCGCATATGACCTACGGAATTGAGGTTTATGGGGAAGTAATGATGAAATGAACATGAAGTGTTTATTATTAAGCAAAAAGATGGCACTAAGAGTTATAACGTTTAGTCCGATTAGGACTCATTCACAACCGATATTCCGGGAGCTAAAATTATTGAATGTGTATCAACTCCATAAACTATCTATTTGTGTTTTTATGTATCAATTATTGAATGATAAATTGCTGCAGTCTCTAATTCAGTATTGCTGTTTCATAGAGCACAACTATGAGACTAGACAAAGAAAAAAGTAAGAAATTGTGTGTGCCTAAAGTAAGGACAACGCAGGGTAAATTTTTAATGTCATTCAGAGGCACACGCTATTGGAATGATTTACCCCTTTCTGTACGGGAGAAAGCATCAGTGTCTTGCTTTCGTAGAACTCTAATATCACAAATGTTAATAGAATAATTGTTTTTAACTTTGAACCAAGGTTCTTGCCTTTTGTAAAAATTGTGTAAATATTATGTTATATAATTCTTTATCTTTTATTTAGTGTAAAATACCAAAGCCTTGCATTTAATCACAGAACATATTTACCCTAGATGTAGAATAGCTTGTAGCTTAAGTATGTATTTTAAAGTTATTCATATTTATTCATTACATGCTCATTCATTGCTGTGATACTTTTGTATTAGTGGTACCAGACAAGATTAGCATTGAATGCTATTTTCTGGTCCCATTTATCATTTCAATGTTAACCATTCACATTTGATTGTTATATTGATGTACTTTTTGTTTGGATAATCAACTTCAAACTCAACTCAAACTTAAACTCAGATGTTTCAAGCATCATCAACCTAGAATATTATTAGTAGTGTCGGAAGTTGGAAATTTGTGAAAGTCTTTATTTTATGATGTTTAAGTTTAAGACAAATTTATATTCTGCTTTCAATTAAGTGTTAAGGATCGAGGCTAGATCTGCTGTTTTTTCACGTGGAAAAGTCCTCTTCCTTAGTATGATGTGACCTGCATAGCTGAGTCAGGTGTTTATTAATATACGCTAGATTGCGTAATGACATTAGGCCAAGTGGCAGTGTCATTCCTTTTTTATTGTATGCATGAATTAGTCCGTATGTTAACGTACGTACGTACGCGGTATGGGCAAGTAGCTCTATCTTGGGTGTGGTTAGCTCAGACACCAATTGAGCATCCACGTGCACGGACGTGTTGTAGCTAGGTCGGGCAAGACTCTGGTTTTGGAGATCTTTCGGGTATGTGAATTTATACTTGTATAAATGCAATTTAATCTTAATTGATATTAAGAAGTTACCTAGGATTCGATCGGAACAGAGTTTGTATAGTATTTTGCATTCGGTTAATTGGAGTGCATGGATGACTTTTTGCCACAATTCTTATGTTGTATGTAAACGTTTTTGAAACGTCTTTCGATGTAACAAGTTCAAAGCTATCAGTGAAATTGCAAATGATATTTGTTGAGATTGAAAATAGACAGTGAAATCACTGTTGTATTTGCTTTGTTAATTATTTCATGTTCAATAATAACAAGTGCAGAAACTTGCTTGTTTTTAGTAGTTGAAAAGAATTATCAACTTAGTTAGTTTTGGCTAAGCTCTTGGTAGTTGTGAACGTAGAAGGCAGCATTTTGTATACAAAGATGGCGGCGCCTATGAATCGTAGATACCGACTTAAGGTATGAGAGTGTGTTTTTGTAATATAATCATAGATATTGAATTTTGATATAGTTTTTCCGTAGATAACATGTTACATTGTATATATTTAATACTTGGTGTATTTTCAATGTAGGTTTCTATGGTTACGGGTGTATTGACTTCATTACAGCTCATTTACAGCTGGGAGGTATGGGACTACAGCTGGTCCAGGCCTACATGTAGGTGATGACTGCATTTCTGCTCGTAGCAGTGACGGGTAGTGAGTGACTGTGGAGTTTGCAGTCTGGTTGTTGATGCTTGTTGCTTGACATTTGTTTGACCTTGGGTAGGCATCTTTTGATATTGGTTTGATATGTTTAATCAAACAGTGATACTTTTGATGTTTATAATGCAGTATAGTATAGTAATATTAATGAGCTTTCTGATTAATGCTTTACCATGTTGTGTAAATGCTTTCAAATAATATTATAAAGGATGATTTATCGAGGGAATGAATTGATTCTTTATCAGAGGGTTTGATAAGATAATGCACTTTATGGAGTTAAGTGTAATTTTATTGACTTATATCTGGTTGATGATAAAGATGCTTTGATGAATAAGATGTTTTGATGATTAAGATGCTTTGAATATTTAGATAAACATCTGAATATGAGGAATCTCTAACTTAAGTACGAGACACACATATTGTTTGTAACAATATATGATTATTCGATGACTAGAAGTCTGTTTGGTTTTTATACAATACATGCATGTTGAATATGTATGTGAACGATGACATTGAACTATTTGAATCTGTAATGTGGTACAAGTGATTTATCACTGGCCTTTTCTGTATCTTTACAGGGTTTTTTGTTTACGACACAGAATAAACATCAATGCCCTTATATCTGCTGTCTTGTCATCATTGTCATCATTGATACTATCCGGTCCCTAGCAAGGTCCAACCCCCACCCACGACAGTAGTATTATTAACGAAGGGCATGGTCTAAATTTTCATAATTTGGGGGGTAAAATGCAAATGAGGCACCTTTTCAGCCAATCAGTGAAAGAGAAGCGTGCAAGCTTATTTTTACAAATTGCAGCTTTTTCCTAAGTTTCATGTCTTTTTTTCCCTATTAAAGCATGTTTAGAACCTTTTTGAAAGGTAACTGTATGGTTACAATACAGATCTTAATCTGTATTATTATTATTATTGTATGTGTATATGATTATAAAAATGATTCCCTATTTTAGACCTCATTTGTAGTGAATTGAAGGTTATGAGATAATTATTGTTCAGCAACAGTGTACATACATGTATAAACTTTTGTGCCGTGTTTTTTTACAGTGACAATAATTTGGTCATAGATTGGGTTTGTCCAAAGCATTTGACATACACAAAAGTACACTGTACTATGCAAATGAGATTATACAAATACTTGGACAACAGTTTGAAAAAAATTGTTAAATATTGCAACATTTCATTTTTTGTAATAATTTAAGAATTTTTTAGATGTATTATTTTTTTTGTATTGATATAAAACTTAATCAAATCAAACATTTGATGTATCTGTATTATGTTTATGTGATTGTGTAAAAAGTTGGCCAGCCTGCACACTTCTACTTCTACTTCTACGACGATACTCAGCAGGATCCATAAGTCAGGATGTAGTGCCGAGGAATATAAATCTAGTTCTTTGTCTAGATGCTGGGTGGAAGCGCTACCTTGAACCCCCTTCAGCGCCAGGGGGAGGGCTCTCACTATCAAGAACTTGAGGTTGCGCCCCTGCAAGCTTGCTGCAAGTTTGCATGGCATACACTGTCGGCCTGCAAGATTGATAGGGCTTTAAATTGCGCTAGTGCAAGCTTGCAGGGCACGTCCTCCTTTCCTGCAAGCTTGCAAGTCTATAGAGCTTTAATTTGCGCCCAAGCAAGCTTACAAGGCATACCATGTCGGCTTGCAAGGTGGCAAGGGCTTTAGATTGCGCTTCTGCAAGCTTGCAGGGCACATCTTTCCTGCAAGCTTGCAAGAGCTTTAATTTGCGCCCAAGCAACAGGGCATACCATGTCGGCCTGCAAGGTGGCACGGGCTTTAGATTGCGCTTCTGCAAGCTTGCAGGGCATGTTTTCTTGGCCTGCAAGCTGGCAGAGCTTGCTGGGGCCCAAATTAAAGCCCTTGCAAGCTTGCAGGCATATCTCTCTTTGCCTGCAAGTTTGTTGTAAGATTGCGAGCAA